ATTATTATGACTGTGGTCACTTACGGTACCTTTGTCTCGGACTGGCTCTGGGTTTTTTGAGGGATGGTGTGGGCGGGCAGGAGGAGAGTGAAGCGAAGACAAACAGGTGATAAAAGGAGGCGACACTCAAGTTGCATGACCACTGTGAAACCTTCAGATCTCGTTTGTAATGATGATATATTTTTTCATGGGGGAAAATCAGAAACACCCTGCTACCGCTCCCGTGCCCTCCCTTTTTTCAGACATCAAAAGAAGGAATAATCAACCTCTCTCCTCACACCGTTTCCTCTGTCTGGCTTTCGGTCGTTGATGGATTAGCTTGGGCGTGAGATAAATGGACCCACAGGGTGAAACTGACTGGAAATCAGCCCTCGGAGCCCAGGCTAGATCACAATGGACATAAATACTGACTGAAGCTGGTCCTGGGTCCGAGGGTTAAACCAATAAGGGAAGCGCATTGACTGTGGCAAATGAGGCGAAGTGTGTGTGTTTGTGTGGTAGCATCACAAAAACGTGCATGCACACACATATACAGTACAAGCACACGAACACAGTCTTTGATAATGGGACGGTTCCTCTGAGATTTTTTTTGAGCATTTATGGACATGACTATAAAGGGAACTGCACAAAGAGAGAGGGGGTCGGAGGAGAAAGTGTGTGTGTGTGTCATGGGACTGAGACTTCTTTAATGTTGGGATAGTGAACATAATGAGTAAGCACTGTGAACACACACATACATACATAAACACTTGACAACCATTGTACAGATACACACACATACAGACATTTGTAGAAAAGCACATGCAGATCTAGACATTTACAAAGACATGGCATGCACATACACAAACACACACAAACAAGGGGAAGCACTTCCTTCCCCGTTTCATCTTATTTTTGTAGCATTTAAAATCACTGTTAATTACTCCTGTGTGGGATGCAGTGATGGGGTATAGCCTGTGGAAGATTAAAAAAATGTGTTTTCTCTTCTTCTATTCCACTGATGCTGTCCTTCTATCGTTCTTCTTCTCTGGTTTGTGATCCATGGTTGGTAGTGGTAGGATGCCTCCAGGTCTGAGCGTCATGTATGAGTTTGTCTCCTTTTCTGTTTGTGATGTTTTTGTGGGAGCTGACCTCAGTCATTAAAGTCAGTCAGTCAAAAGTAAACACAGAAGTCAGAGCGAGGAGAGAAACACACAAATAAAGATTGTTTTTTTTGTCTACTCAAAATAATCCAAGTGAGTGGAATTTCTTCAGCCGAGATGTGAATTAATTTTGATTGGTTTTTGTTTTTCTTCCCAAAGGACACATGATTGTATATTCATATATTAGACTGCACCTTGATATTATTTTGCTCAGTCTATCTTCCTCTGACGTCAAAGTCTTGGAATGGTGAGCATTGAGCTCTGCCAGTCAAAGCATGAAATTATTCAGATGAAATCACTTTCTCCAATCTTCAGATGTTTCTCCCTCAGTGATGTGACAGCTAATCTGAACTGCTGACAACATGGAGGCTGAATAGCTTGATAACCTTTCCTCCCTTGTTTCCATCAGATTTCCAGCAGTGTGTTCTCAGTGATGGAAAAGAACCAAGTGCATTTCCTCAAGAACTGCACATATGCAGTATTTCCATGTTCTGCTACTTCATACATCTGTTTCACTACATTTGGAGGGAAATATTATATTTTAAACTCAACAAAATGTACTTTAGATCTATAGTTATGATTGACTTTTCAGATTTTCCTTAAAAAAACATATGATACGAGGTCTTTATTACCCAAAATTGTTACACAAGTCCCCAGTTTTTATTCTAGCTCTGTTTGATAGCCACAACATTTCCAGTCTCCCTCTCACTTTCATTGGTTTTATAAAAGCACACAAATATATATTTTTAAATACACATGATGAGGTTTTAAAATACATTGTTCAAGATTTAACATGTTGTTAGTTACCAACAGTTTGGGATTGTGACCACTTACGAAAAATCGGTTTAGTTGAGGCACCTGTCACACTTCAGATGCAATGCACTTTCATTGCAGAATTAGTACCAGAAACTGTTTATCTTGAAGTCCTAATATTTGCATATAGTGAGTAAAAGTGTGCATGATTTGTCTGGATATTTTGTGCAGTTGGACAGAAAGTTGACTAATGAGTTGTTAAAATGTCCACCAAAAACATAATTACCCTCTAATCATTTCATACTGTTGAATTGTAATCAATGTTTGAGGCCTAACAAGGTAACATTTTTCTATTATTTAGAGGGAAAAAAAGCAAAAATAATAGAAGAAAGGTATGTGTGTTCCAGCACTGTCTCTTTTTTTTACCTCGTAATTCCTTTTTCTAAATAATATTTCTGTAGTTGTACAAAAGTAGAAGTACTAGTACTCATTTAAAGTATTTCTCCATTTTGCCAAAACTTGTATGTCTATCAAAAGTCAGATGTCCTTGAGCAAGACATGGAACCATTAAATTATGTTAATGCCTAAAGGCTTAATGTCCCAAAAATCGCATATGAAATGTTTCCTCTCCTCTTTGAGCTCAGTAGGTTTTCTTTAGATCCAGACTTGAATAGACAGATGGACAATAGACTCTTACCCCCCATTAGGGCTTGCACTGGCCAGTGCTATAGCTTGAAACATTTATCAGTCCTGTTCTGAAAGCGTTATTTGAAACCACTGAGTTGCCGCTGGTGCAAAAAGAATATCTAATATATAACGTTGTTTTTGGGGAAAAGTGAGGCGCATGAATAATAGATGAACCTTGGCTGTCCATGTTTGGCCCTCCTGTGAAAAGCGGACTAATGGCTATCGATGTCTCTGGTTTCCATCAAATTGCTTCATATGGGAGCCCAATTCAAACGGAGGAGTAGATTTCAGTGAAAAGGAGACGAGGGAATGAAATTATCTGTGAATATAGAAACGCACGCTTGGTCAGCCAATTCTTCGCCCTGACAACTATCAGGTACCAGTGGGATTGGCCTAACGTAAAATTAAGCCCCATCAAGCGAGGCCTCGAAAGCTTCCCATGTCTCAATCCTTGTGAGAGGAAAGATGGATGTGTGATCTGACTGGAACAGCGCCAGGATTTAACAGATGTGCTGCTTCAAATCATGGGAAACTGCTGATCTGGGCTGTGCCACTGAAACACATACACCCACACTGTTTTATCCCCATGTATTCTCTATCTTATTAATCACCTGATTATTCCAGCTATTTTCATTGGCTGGCGTTCACGTGGGAAATGAATTGGCGAGAATACATTTGGCCTATATGATGTTGGTTTTGGCAACAACCAAAAAGAATTGCCAGGAAATGCAGATGGAGACCCCGCTCCGTTCTTCTCCTCTCTTCATCTCTTTCTGTGTTGATTTCTCGCTCTCACTGACACATTATCGGGCTATAGGCTAATCTATTCTCCTCTACCCTGTATTTTTGTCTCCTCGTATTCAACTAACTGGCATGATTTAGGAATTATGGAATTAGGGCAGTGCTCCCGTCTCTATTAATGAGGAACTGCATGATGAAAGAACTTGATCCTGAACGTGCCATCTGTAGTCACCATTACACATTCTCTTAATCTATCTCTCACTACTTTCTATTCTTTCTTTCCTCTACTTCCTTCCCCTCTCGCACTCTCCCTCACACACACATCCCCTGTCAAACACACTCACATTATAATTGTAATTACAGAGGAAGTACTAATAGCTCTTCAAGCACTATTGGATGTGGCGTGAAATGGTACAATCTCACAGCAGGAAAGTTAACTATGGACCACACACTCATGCAGAGGCACACTCACAGCAGTCCAGATGGACCGTGTGTTATTGCTGAATAATGCATGCTGTGTAGACTCTATAAAAGATACATGGGTAGAGAGAGCTGGGCACCATTCAGGCACAGTGTGCAGTTCAAAGAGGGCATCTCTGGAGCATCCCTTGTGCACATTTGGAGTTGTTATCAAATGTTTAGCTTGTGGTATTAAGCGATAGGTGACCCAACAGGGACACATATTTAGCTGGCCTTAGAGAGGGTAAAAAACAAAACACTAGGCTTTTAGACATTGTCAGTTGATATCTTGGCTGGCACTCTGCCCGGTGTCTTTGCAGTCACCTTGAATGGGCTTTGGTGGTTTAAACCATAAAACTTTGAGAATTACACATTCAATGCTAGAGGCTCGCATTTCAGAGCACCTCTCAGAAGCACTATGAAAAATATTCAGCAGCAGTCTATCTTCATGTAAAGTAGAGGGGGGAAGGGGAGGGGGAGGTCTGGGTGAAGGGTAAATGCTGCACTCATGTGGGGAAAATGAGCAGCGCCTCTTTCCTCTGGAGTCATATGACAGGACATGCGCACGACCATGTGCTGCGTTCAAGAGCTCATAGAAAGCTCCTTCCTCTGAGAATTTGTTTGAATTACAATTAATCCCCAAAAAATTAGGCCATGTATTTAAACAAAAAGTTAGGTATAATGTGCTTTGCTGCAACATAATTAAGGAAAGGAACATTGCACCAAAAAAAAGTTTTTTCGAACTAATCTAGGAGCCACAACTCATGTCATCGAAAAGGAAAATATAAACCCTTTTATGATTATAATTATTGATTACCATGTCATATAATTACAGTTGTATTGTGCTTACTGTATAACATGGAAGTAGGCTGTGTGTGCTTTAGTTGACTTCTTCATTTCCCTTTATGGTATTTCCATCTTCTGTTTTTTTGTTACTTCCACTTCAGTGCTTGTAAACGTGGGGTAGTAAATAACATATTTTAAATGTAAATTAATCCCACATTTACTAGTTGCAACATTAAAGTGATGCATCATAATGAAAGCATAATATAATATACATTGTTCTCGAATTAACTTTTCTCATATTCAGTACTTCCCGTTTTGGTGCTACTTTTCTCCTTTTGAGTACACATTTGACTGCAGCATTTTTCATTGCAATAGAGTAATTCTAATCGTGAATAGTGCTGTTTGAGTTAAGTATAATATCTGAGTACTCCACCATTGCTTAGTTGCAAACTTCCTCCTAATTTATAAAGCCAGTAAACATTTGCTCGGCTTTGGAAATCGCGATATTTCCGACAGTCAATAAAGGCACCACGCGACACAATTCGGGACGACCAGACGGTGAAAAGCCACTGAAGGAATCCAGAAGTTACCAAGTTCACATACCGTGAAGAAGGAGGAGTAACCAGCTGGTTTTTAATAAGAGGAGGTTTACCTGTAAGTATTGACTCCCAAGATAAATATCTGTCTTCCTTTCGCCTGCCAACATAGTTGTTCGAGTTGTGGCAGTTGACAGGAAAGCGGAAGTAGCTAACTACCCAGCTAGCCGCACATTAGCTGGTTTAACGAGTTGTCAACGGATTTTACCTTGTTTACAACACTACAGAAACTTTTCAAACAATGTAAGAAAACCTTATATGCTTTGACGGACACCTCGGCGTTGTTCTCTGTCGTTTTCAACTTGTTTTAATTCAGTTTAAAAGTGTCATGTTGGGGAGTTTACAGTCACAACGCTGGTGTCTTGGGTGTGGGACACTGTGTTTTCTTACTTTTATTATTGAGCCTAAAGTCACCTGTTTTTCAAGTGACCCTCGTTAAATACTTGCTCAGCACTTTACTGTTTTCCTCTGCTGTTGAGATAACCAAGGACAGGTGCAGTGGTGTAAAGTAACTAAGTACATTTACTAAAGTACTGTACTTAAGTACAATTTTGAGGAACTTGTACTGTACTTGAGTATTTCAGTGTGTTGCTTCTTTGTACTTCTACCCCACTACAATTCAGAGGGGAATAGAGTACTTCATTTGTTGTATACCTTTTAGTTATTTTACCGTTTTGGATAATACTTAATGAGACTTTAGTTACACCTGGAGTAAATTCATAATCGACCCTGGAGTATACAAAGCAATAATAACTAGCTTCACCTTTACCAGCTTGATAAACACATTAAATGTATCAATAGTTATAATCAAAACGTATAATATATTATACTGACATGTGCCAATCTGCATAATGAGTACTTTAAGTATATTTGGATGCTCATACTTTTGTACTTTTATTTGAGTAACATTTTGAATGCAGGACTTTTACTTGTAACAGAGTATTCCTACACTCTGGTACCTATACTTTTACTTAAGTACAAGATCTGAGTACTTCTGGTCAGGTGTGTGTGGATACAGTATTGCATATATTTAAATGAAACAATGGAAATGATTAACAATATCATACTTTTACCTATTTCTTCCATTATAATTGGCTGCTGTTGTCAAAATAGTTGACATTTGTAAAAACCCCCTCACACATAATGCTATGAAAATAAGAAAATGTCATGTTTTTTGAATTGTTCCTGTACAGCATGATGTCATTGACCTTCCTTCTGGCTGAATGTTATTGTAACATTAGGTCAGCATTATCAGTAAACCACCCTGCCCAAAACATTTCACACTTAACCGTAATGTGTCATCAATGAGGAGTGGGTGTTGGGGAACTGTTGAAAAAGTAGCCTTTAAGCTTGCTTGTGAAAAAAGATTAAGCTGGAGGATATGCATATAAAATGATATGAATAAGAAAAGACGTCAGTCTGTGGTGTCGTCACATCTGGAGGAACAGGTTTGGGTAGAAGAACAAGAAATGTGCTTCCCTGTTTGAGCTATTGTGTTAAGACACAGGCTGTTGGTGCTATGAGGACACTTCAACATGAACGGGTATGTCCTATAGGCTTGGTAAATGATTCTTCTTGTGGCTGTGAACACATGTAAAGTGGTGTCAGTCTAGTGTTGTTATCGGGTGTGATGTGTGAAACCTATGGCTTCCTTCCTCTTATGTTATTATGGGCTCAAATTGCTCAGGGAATAAACAGATCTAGTGTTTACCCGTGTGTGGCTTGGCTGTAACCTTCTCATCACTTTTTCATGAGGATAGATCAATATTCAGCGATGGAGAGGTTTACGCTTTACTGGCACTTGTTATTGAGATGTAAGTGTTGACATGTTCATCTGCTCTTGTTGTGGTTTGGCATTTCAAAATAAAGCATTGTGTGTAAGTCCACCTACAGTGTTATGGTGGTAAGAGCACATCAATATCTTGCCGAGTTCAATAATCGGTTAGAAAAGCAGTCGAGCCTGTGTGAACCAAGTGCCCTATTTGCAAAAAAGCATAGTCAACAACATTAAATCATCTGAACTGTCTGCCAAGTAGACTTTCCCTTTTCCCTCTATCTCAGGATGTTTGCTTGCTGCAGGTTTGAAAGGCAACTCAAAGTTCAGGGATCATTTAGAAAAACAGGAAAAAGCTACTTGAACTTTAAAGGAAAGAGTAGACCGGAGAGGAAGAAGGGAATCCAGCTGTTTCCTGATCAGAGCTTGTGGTTTATGACTAACCACGTCTTTGCTGAACCGTACAGTGTTCCTGCATCACAGAAAAACCAGCTCAAGTTGTTTACTTTCAATGATCTCTATCTCATGTTACCTTGTGCACCAAAGGCTGACATTACACCGGTGTATTCAGTGCACGCTGGGCTGCAGGAAGATCACTCGATGCACACATCAGATATAGTTAGGATTTGATCTGCTAAACCTCTCTGCAAGGTAGCCGAGATCATGCTGTGATCAGAATGTTTCTCCATGGATTAAAAGGCAGTGAAACCACACCTATAGCATTGCTCAAATTCCGTCAGTGTAGGGATTATACCTGGAATCCTTATACTGGCCAGGATAACGTGACATAATCCTGATAGTCGTCCGATCCTTACCTCTAATAGGGGCTTTTATTCTGATCCACTTCTCTTAGTTATACCTTGCCTGAACTCCAAAGTATACTAAGAACAAAATGTTAAATTGCACAACAAGTAGCCCTTAGTGGTCAACCACGATGAGCACTTCCTGACATCATGCCCGCTGTGCTGTGGTACATGTTGTGCAAGCTCATGCAATCTCCATTTTAATCAGAACACAGACTCTGCATGGAGCTATTAAACCAAGATGCAATTTATCCTAATGTGATTAACTGGGAGTTCATTTCACAGGAAGTCACATGAGATCACTTGTAGCCTATAACTAAAGTATCTGGGCTTTCTTAAAACTGAAGCTGTCTTTTTCTCGTGAGTCACTCGTGAACTTCTAAGGCTCCATTCTTAATGTCTTCACCTTTTTGTTCTTTAGCCAATTCAAAAGCAGATTGTATCACCTCTGCTGTTACTCAATCCCCCTAAAGACCTCGTGAGCTTAAAACGAAACAAAACGGCTCGTCATTTCATGCAATTGACGGGGCTGTATGAAATGGAAACTAAAATGGTCCTCCAAGCTTTGTCATTGATTTAGTTTCTTGTTCCTTTTCTATCAGCAAGCGTGTGTCCAGATTCCAGACACTCTTCCAGGGGAATGGAAATGGCTCAATTTGTATAGGTTTTGCATCTCCTTCTTCCCCCTGACATCAACATGTTGTTTTCATGTTTCCTTTTTTAGAAAAGTTCTCCAAATTAATTTTACGAGTAACTTTTAGAAACTCTCTCTATTAAAGTTTGTCCACTACAAAATGCTCTATGTATTCAGTCTTAAATGTAAAACTGAGGCTAGGTACCTTTGTGTTCATTTTAAGACATTGATATCAGCGGGTGTGTTATTAGATTTTCTAAACTACCAAATATTGATATCAATATAGCTCTCAAGAAAACAGTATCTATTATCCATAATTAAAACATTGAATTGACATCAAGCTAATTATATCTCAGTGCTGTATTTTGCTCTTGGTCTTTTACATTTGTAGAGTATCTTTTATAGTTGCCTAAAGTCAAGCTGGGTCTCAGGTTTGTTTGAGTCTTGGAGTTTTATGATAGCCGATGCCCACTGGTGTGATCTCTCTTAATCCTCCTCTCTTTCAGGCCGCAGATCATCGAGCTCGGAGCGACGGGGGGAACCTCCAAAATGGACAGCAGCAAAATGGAAGACATGACTGTGGAGCAGATCGCCATGAGGTCCAACCAAGTGACTGACGAGGTACTGAGACACACACACACACACACACACACACACACACACACACACACACACATTACATTGCATTTAGCTGACGCTTTTATCCAAAGCGACTTACAATAAGTGCATTTGACCAGGAAGACACAAACTTGAAGAAAACAGAATCATATAAGTACATCAGGTTTCATAGAGCCAAACATTTCAAGTGCTACTCAACTGGCTTTAGATAAGCCAGTCCTTTATTAGTATATAAGTGCTCTGTTAGCAGTTCTTTGTTAGTAATTATATCGCTCGAAGTGGAGTCGAAAGAGATGAGTTTTCAGTCTGCGCTATCTGCAAGCTTTCTGCTGTCCTGATGTCAATGGGGAGCTCATTCCACCATCTTGGAGCCAGGACAGCAAACCCACGTGTTTTTGCTGATGGGAACTTGGGTCCCCCTCGCAGCGAGGGCGCAGCGAGCTGTTTGGCTGATGCAGAGCGTAGTGCACGCGCTGGGGTGTACAGTTTAACCATGTCCTGGATGTAGGAAGGGCAAGATCCACACACACACACACACACACACACACACACACACACACACACACACACACACACACACACACACACACACACATCCTTTATTCTGTTATCATCTGTTTTTGAGTCGGTATGAATCTATTCTGTCCAAAATCGTTCAGCATCACTAAAACTGTATTATTACTCGCTAATGCTCAAACTGCGCAAGCTACAGACAAAAGCAGTTGAGCTCAGAGTATTTGCAACATACAGATGGGCAGTGAGGCAGTGGATAATGTGGCAGGAGTGTTTTTAAAAGTTTCTATGGTAGTTATTTTTTAATCCTTTCTTTGGGAACACTTCATTTTAATAGTCAATAATTTCTAATTAATTCTCTTGGACATTTATTGGAAAATAAAAACAAATATATTGCTGTAACTGTTAGGTGTCCAATTCATTCATCTGCAATGCGACATTAGTCCGAACAGTCTTATCAATATTCATGAAAGTTAAATGTCAATCTAGATGGAAATTAATCTCAATGTTTGGCCTACGGGAATAACTTAGCTTTTACCTTTATTTGTATTCCATAACAGCAACAAAAATACTGGTTATTTTTCTCCTCGTCCTAAGCTCAAGTCAAGGCACAAAGGACGAGCTGAACATGCAAACAATTAGATTTGTCTAGCTAAAAATTGTATTGTAATATGTCCATTGAAGTTTAGACTATTACATTCATAATGAATCAATATTTACTTCAGTTTAACTTGAGCTTTTATTCAAAGGGAAAAACTATCTTGGCTGTTTATGATTCTGCCAACTTTTACAAAACACAGTTTCCCTTCATTCTGGAAAGGAAGATTTTGGGTGGAAATCCCTTCTTTTTTTTTTTTTTCAAAACAGAATTAGTAATTTTGCACACATGCTAATTATGCACAAGCAATCAGGACTTTGAATCTTATGATATGTCCAACTATAAAGCAGCAGCCAGTAGGTGGTTAGCATTAAACACTAAAGAAGGAGGGGGAAACAGTTAGCCTGGCTCTGTCTAAAGGTTAGTTCATAAAAGTACCCCATACAGACATTAGAGCATAACGTCCTTTAAAGGTCACCTATTATGCAAAATCCACTTGTCCATGTCTCTTCTACATCAACATGTGTCCCCTCTTCTTCATGTCTCTTCTACATCAACATGTGTCCCCTCTTCTTCATGTCTCTTCTACATCAACATGTGTCCCCTCTTCTTCATGTCTCTTCTACATCAAACATGTGTCCCCTCTTCTTCATGTCTCTTCTACATCAACATGTGTCCCTCTTCTCATGTCTCTTCTACATCAACATGTTCCCTCTTCTTCATGTCTCTTCTACATCAACATGTGTCCCCTCTTCTTCATGTCTCTTCTACATCAACATGTGTCCCCTCTTCTTCATGTCTCTTCTACATCAACATGTGTCCCCTCTTCTTCATGTCTCTTCTACATCACATGTGTCCCCTCTTCTTCATGTCTCTTCTACATCAACATGTGTCCCCTCTTCTTCATGTCTTCCTTACATCAACATGTGTCCCCTCTTCTTCATGTCTCTTCTACATCAACATGTGTCCCCTCTTCCTTCTGTCTCTTCTACATCACAATGTGTCCCCTCTTCTTCATGTCTCTTCTACATCAACAATGTTCCCTCTTCTTCATGTCTCTTCTACATCAACATGTGGTCCCCTCTTCTTCATGTCTCTTCTACATCAATATGTGTCCCCTCTTCTTCATGTCTCTTTCTACATCAACAGTGTTCCCCTCTTCTTCATGTCTCTTCTACATCACATGTGTCCCCTTCGTCTTCAATGTCTCTTTCTTCTTCTACATCAAAAAATCAAATGTGTCCCCTCTTCCTCATGTCTCTTCTACATCAACATGTGTCCCCTCTTCTTCATGTCTCCTTCTACACAACAATGTGTCCCTCTTCTTCATGGTCTCCTCTACATCAAACATGTGTCCCCTCTTCTCATGTCTCTTCTACATCAACATGTGTCCCCTCTTCTTCATGTCTCTTCTACATCAACATGTGTCCCCTCTCTCTTCATGTCTCTTCTACATCAACATGTGTCCCCCTCTACTTCATGTCTCTTCTACATCAACATGTGTCCCCCTCTTCTTCATGTCTCTTCTACATCAACAGTGTCCCCTCTTCTTCATGTCTCCTCTACATCAACATGTGTCCCCTCTTCTTCATGTCTCCTCTACATCAACATGTGTCCCCTCTTCTCCATGTCTCTTCTACATCAACATGTGTCCCCTCTTCTTCATGTCTCCTCTACATCAACATGTGTCCCCTCTTCTTCATGTCTCTTCTACATCAACATGTGTCCCCTCTTCTTCATGTCTCTTCTACATCAACATGTGTCCCCTCTTCTTCATGTCTCTTCTACATCAACATGTGTCCCCTCTGTGGAAAGAGACTCTGAAAGTTTCAGGAACAAAGATTCTCTCTCTTTTTGATCCATTTCTATAAAAACCTGTCTGAAAACGAGCTGATCAGATTTTGGCCACTTTATGATGTCATAACGATGTTTTGTCTTGGTAACCATTAGCCAATCAGCAACCAAGGTAACCCCCCCCCCCCCCCCCCCCCTTATCACCTGAGTCTCCTCCTTGAGCACCATTGTGTTCTTTGTAACCAGATGTCTCTCAGAGGGGCGTGGGGAGGGGCTCCTTATTTTCATCTAAAGTAACAGACAGAGAATCAGCACTTTGGAAACAGGGCTGAAACAGAGGGGATTATGGGTAATGCTGCAATGATCTGTTTGGTGTTTGGAGCCAAACACTTCAGAGACATGTTTTGTACATATCTGAGACCTGTAATATATTGATGAACAGTATAATAGGAGACCTTTATTCTTAAACAATCAAGATTATCATTGTTGTGATGAAATAATCATTTCAGACATGCCCACGTTGAAGACCGAACAATTTGACAAGTGTGTTATCACTAGGGCAACATAATACCAGGCACATATTATCCTGGGGTTGCTTAAATATTCAGTAGCATGGAAAGAGCAGAGGGTTTGTAATTAGACTCATTGTGTTCACAGTTGATTATGTGTGTGTGTGTGTGTGTGTGTGTGGGAGGCTTTACGCCTAATTTAGCTTTAGCTCCCTTTTCCCATCTGCGCTTTTGATGGTTTGAATGTTGTCAGCTATATCTAAGTGTTTTATTATCAAGGAGATAATTGTTTCATCGGCACCCGGGGCATCGTATGATCAGCCATCTGATTCAAATGGAGGAACATTCATTTACTCTAGTGCTCTTCACCTTCCTGTAATTCTAATTGTTTACTTTTTTCTTCTTGACTGCGCTGTTTCTCTCATGTGTGTGTTTCCGACTTAACCTCTTTCTCCTTTTCCTCCTCCTCCTGCTGCTGGCAAGGCAGTGTCCTTCTGCTCACACTTCTTCACACTCTTTGGGTAACAACTCATAGCTGAAAAACTCAGAGCATGTCCCGAAATATATCAGGGCAGCGAAGGATTTTGTTATAAGATTGTTGTTGGGGAGACTATCATAAGGCTGTTTCCAAGTCCTCAATTTAGAAAATGGCTTCCACATTGTGTCAAAGTTAATTAAAGGCATTGTTTGTGTGCTACTTTCTTATAATTCTGGTCTATTGCAGCCAATTAAAACCTGTACTTTGTTTGATTCTCTCTGTGTTAGAATAGGACTTGAATTAAAAAGCATGTCGCTTGCTGGAACCTGCATGCACATCGCCTCACTGTACTTCCATTTAAGCCGTCCCAAACAATGATTTAAAAATACCACACCATTGTCTGTATCTCAGAGATCCGTCCCAGCAACCCAATCTGGGACATTTGGCTAAGACAGCAGTTTTCAGGGCTTAATTAGCCAAGTTTGAGGATTTTTAGAGACATAACTTAATGTTTATCCACCCAAATGATGTTCTGGCAAGGCCAACAGAAACCTGGCTGAGCTCAACACATCCATCTCGCCAATTCCTTGTTTGTCTGTGTCTCAACTCGCTGATAAATGTATTCAGAGCAAACATAACACAGAGAGGAGGCAGAATCTGGTCCCCCTCTCTCTTGTTAACACTTCATTAGTGATGGGAACAATGGAGTCATGCCCTGAGTCACTTCCGCGCTCTGCTGCTTGGGGTGCTCTGTTCACTTTGTACAGCACTTGCTATTAATAGAGACACAAAGGCGTAACTCACCTGAACTGACTGCATTCCTGTTCACCAACAACCTTAGTGTGTTTTTGTCCGTGTCCTGCTTTTAGATTAACTTGTGTGCTAGCCGCAGCCATATCACTTCAACAGTGAGTAGACACAGTGACACAGTTAGAGATTAGTCACAGAACAAATGTAGCTGTGTCCCAAACACATGCTAATCTAATGCTGGTTAGTATGGAGTGGTCACACAAAATGAAGTTTACTCCAACCAGCATTATTCATACCAGACACTCATTTGTGAGTTGTGCCGAATAAAGTCCTCTCTACGACTGAAGATTAAAAAACATTCACTTTATTGTAGGGCTGCTCGATTATGGCAAAAATCATAATCTCGATTATTTGGGTCAATAATTGATATCACGATTATTAAAAACATTATGAAAACATCCATTTATTGGAAAACAAATTTGAACAGTATGTTTTTAACAGTTGATTACCCTGAACTTTAAGTATAATTCAACTGAAAAACCAATACAAAAAAAAATCGTTTTATTTCGATTACGTTGTTTTTGTAATCGTTGCAAGCCAAAATCGTAATTGCGATTTAAAATACGATTAATTGAGCAGCCCTACTTTATTGTCACGAAACGTTTACTCATACTCGCACTGAAAATGCAACAACTTTAGAATAGTAGTTGACGATTCATTTTCTGTCGAGGAATTTACTGATAAATTGACCAAAAGTTTTAGCTCAATTAGAGGACTGCTCCAAAATGAAATGTTTTGTTTTACCAACAACATTAATTACTATCAATTCATAAACATGTTAATGTCTCTAAGCTTGAACAGCCAAATAAGCTCTAGAGCTGAGAGACTAATTTCCAAATGATTGGAATTATGTTTAAGCAACAAGCACTCTTTTGTTTTCCGGATCTTCTTCATGTATTCATATTATAGGCTAGAAAACTGCTCCGTCTACTCACTATAACCAAATTACTGTTTAATTAGTTCCCAGTTGTGGTCTGATCAAATGAACAACATTATTTCCATGATGGGAAAGGACATTGAGGGAAATGATCTGCATATGTTCCATCTTTGACTACAATTGTGCGATCATTGTCTCACACGCAGTACTGTCCGGTCAAAGGGTCTGAAAATCATCTAATATCAACTTTAAATTGCACAGAACAGAGCAGCCAGTTCTGCATTGTTGTTCCTGTGTTCATTTATGTTTGATGCATAATTACTGCTGCGTATAGGGCTAAATTAAAATGGTCTAATAGTCATTTGGACTAATACACCTTCCTCACTTTCCTTTGCAAAACGGTAGTTTGTTGTCCAAGATAATCCACGTTAAAAGAACCGGTCATCTGTTGTGTCCAAGTCTACAAACAAATAGTTTGATGAGAAATGTTTTTAAAGGTTTTTCATCTTCGAAAAGCACAGTGACCTCAAAAACTTGATGAATCTCATATTCAATAGGCTAGATGTTATTTTTATTAATTGCCATGTTGGAATCTTTTGATTGTTTTTATTAATCTTGCTCATAATAATTATAATTTGTGTGTATATATTTGTTGTACTAAAACCCCCTGTTTATCCCTCCAGTCGCTGGAGAGCACTCGCAGGATGCTGCAGATGGCGGAGGAGGTGAGACTTCTGACACACATTCGTTTCCCCTGCTGCTGTGTTTTGATCACAAGAATGTGACTCTGTGTTGGTTAATAATCACCCCCACCTGCATGACGATATGGAACATTTTCTAAATGACTCAGCCTTGATATGCTTGAATAATGAACTGTTAATAATTTGATATTCTGATAGTAATAGCACTTTTACATTACATTACATTGCATTTAGCTGACGCTTTTGTCCAAAGCGACTTACAATAAGTACATTCGACCAGGAAGACACAACCTTGAAGAAAACAGAATCATATAAGTATATCAGGTTTCATAGAGCCAAACATTTCAAGTGCTACTCAACTGGCTTTAGGTAAGCCAGTCCTTTATTGGTATAAAAGTGCTTCGTTAATCGTTCTAACGCTCGAAGTGGAGTCGAAAGAGATGAGTTTTTCAGTTTGCGCCGGAAGATGTGCAAGCTATCTGCCGTCCTGATGTCAATGGGGAGCTCATTCCACCATCTTATTACAAGGAAATTGTTAGGAAAAATATCACTCGTCAACGGCTTGAGCTTCAATATCAGGATCCATGTATTTATTATCCTCTCGAGAATGGAAGTAGTCATCACATACAGAGCATTTGGTTCAACTAGTTCCTGAACAGTGTCCTTCACATGCTGATATCCAAGAGAGTGTTACAGTCACAAGCTGGAGGAATACCGGTTCAAAGCAGTATTCAATGTTTAGTTCAGATAGCTAGGGCCTGCGTAAACAATAAACATGACAGCCTATCTCCATAGAGGCTGAATCATCATGTTAATCACATAGCTATCATATGCCTAAAACAGTCCTGATGCTCTTCTAGGTAATCATACATCCTGTTACGTAACATAGGGCCTTTGTTATCATGTGCTACTCTGATATTAGAAGAGTACATTCAGTATTTTCCCCAACAGAAATGATTGTAACTAATACACTTTTTAAATGAATAATAGTGATAGAATTCTGAACAGACGACATCCTCATCAAATCGTTTGATTGTGTCCAACCCTGATTATTTCCATTCTTTGTAATGTTTTATTGTCTCTAATGGTTTCATTAGTTCTGATCCGTCCTCTTGTGTTTTCAGAGCAGACAGACCGGCACCAACACCATCGTGATGTTGGACCAGCAAGGAGGTAGATATATTAATGACAACACTGCAAGCTTTGATGCAGATGTTTCCTCTTTGTCTGTGCCAAACAGTGTTAATTTCGTCAACGAAAACTATGACTTAAAATGTTCGTCAACGACCTTTTTCACATGACGAGAAGATGACGAGCTAAAAATTTAGTTTGTAATAAAAACTATGACGAAATGTATATTTTGTTTTCCTTGACGAGACGGGACTAAGGTGTTAATGGCGGACATTCAAAATACAGGATATTTTTCCCCAATTGTCCATCTTGTCTGTCAAAATGCATCCCTGTCATTGGTTGAATTAGTTGGGATTCTGGGAATCTGCACACGTCACTCACATTACACAAGTAAAGTGTTAAGAGAGTGAAATGTTGCTTTACGAATTTCAACAACTGATACTGTCACCTTGATTACAATTTCAGATACCTGTATTTGCCTAACTGAATTAGTTTAAGGAGAGAAAACATTTTGACTAAAATGTAATGAGTTGTTATCGACTAAAACTGAACTAAAACTATGAAGGATAAAAAGGTCTAAATTGTGAATAAAACTAATGACCATTTTTGTCTTAAGACTAAATCTAAAATAGCTGCCAAAAATAACACTGGTGCCAAATGCTGACTTAGACATATTTTGTGCTAACCGTCCTGAGTTAATATAAGCACCTCGAGAACTGGGTAGTTTTAAATATTAAAAAGCTGTGCTAATAAAGGTGTATTCTTAACAGTAACCATGCCTCACAAATATAACCGCAGCACTTCCCTGAAGGAGGTGGCATTTCAATTAAATAAGACATATTTGTTCTCGAGTGTGCTTAAGTATTGCCCTGAAAGATTAAGGAAATAAATTGTTATTTGTAGTAATTTATTTTATTTAAGTGTTTATGAATGCTCTCCAGATTTTCTCTGGATGGGTTATTTTTCTATATTTGTGCAAACTGGGGTTTTGTTTCATGCCTGTTAACTTGAAGTGCAAGTGCTATCCAAGGGATGCTTTCCCCATTTGGGAAATATCTGTCATTTTTATTATTTGTTAAACAATGTGCATTATGTTCTCTTTTTGTTATATCCCTTTTGTTGCTGCTGCTATGACCCCATTAAGGAATCCTCACAGGGACAATTACAGTCTAATTGAATCCATTCTAGAAAGGGATAGGTAAAGGTGATAAACAAAACCAAGTTAAGAATAACAAAACTCCTGAGGCCTGTACGACGAAGCCGGTTCAACATAACCTGGATATGTTTGAGTTAGCCGGTTGGCCTAATCCAAAATATACGCGCTCTCGCTAAACGGTCCTATGACGCGGGTTATCAAGTGGATCGCTCAAGCCAACCGTGTCCTATCTAGTTATGCACGTTCACATAAAAGGGGCGGGGTTAGCAACATTCGACCAATCACAAACATGGAGAAGCGCACTGACAGAGCAGCGTCATACTTCCTGAATGAAAAGTGAACTATAATATTAGACAAATATGAAGAAGTTAAACTTTAAACATCCATGACTTAAACACTTTATCCAGGATAAAAGCCACAGAGCTGCACCTGCAAGGTGAATACAGCTGGTAACAGAAAAAGTGTTTGAATGAGTACATTAACAGGTTTATGATATCACTGCCCCGTCTAAAACACGATCTGACTTTAATTACATTTGACTTGAGTTTTTCGTCAACTTAATGTGTTGCTTAAAATAATACTTCTGCATACAGCATGTGACACCGAGTGTTGCACGGCCAGATACGGCTCAGCTGACTCAGATAAGAAAATATATGATACAGATGTGATATGAATGATAATGGGACACATCGACTTCTGCACTCACAGTGCTGTAGGCCTACGTAATGTTACTTTGATCCGGTTACTTATGTTGTGGCAGATATTTAAGTAAGCTTTCTTAACGCTAATGTATAATAGTCAGATTGCTCTGAAGATGGAGGTGATATTCTATTAATTTTCACGTTCACACAGTCAGTTGATTTTTGCTGGCCGTCTTTCCTGCAATGGCAGTTTTTCTGTATTTCCTCTATCCTGTAATATGACTTGATCGCTTTAAACTCCGCTCACGGAGCTCTGATTGGTCAGCAGGCAGTGCTTTCACTGAGTTGATCTCTTAGCCTGCAACCTAACCTGCTCTGGGGCAGGTTAGCCGCTCAGCATAAGTTACCATGGAGATCTAGCCCGCTAAAAAGAGAACCAGCGTCGTAGGACCGGAAACCCAGAGTTTTCCCTGAAGTTAGCCGGCTAAGCAAAAATCCGGCTTCGTAGTACAGGCCTCTGGTGTGTAAAATGTACCTGGATACAGAAGAGGGGGGTGTGACATGGTGTGTGTGTGCCTGTGTGTGTTTCAGAGCAGCTGAGGCGTGTGGACGAGGGCATGGACCAAATCAACCAGGACATGAGGCAGGCGGAGAAAAACCTGACCGACCTCTCCAAGTGCTGCGGCATGTGCGTGTGTCCCTGTGACAGGTACACTACAGCGAGATGCTGAGCCTCACCTTCACTGCTCCGTGTTATCAGGCTGTTTTCCTCTCTGTGTGCTGTGCTTTGATTTGTCATGATAGTTTATGGAACCGGCATGTGGCTGGTTTGTGTTTCAACGTCACATTGAGGAGCAATATAGAGCTAACGGACAACAAAGCAGTATGGAACATTTGAATTTGCATATTTGTTAACTTGATTTGCTTAATTTTTTACATTATATTAAGGGGAAGGGCCTTTTCATCAGGCATCTCTTTTCAGATGTTAACTGACTGACAATCGAAACACTTCTCCAGCTTGTTTAGGCATGAAACACTCTTGGTTAAAACAAGGAGACAACATTTCTGACTATTTAAATAAAAGCCAAAAGATTTGACCTCAAATTCTCTCAAGGGCTAACAGCTGCTGTGAGTTAAAGATTATGGGGATGATAATACTGTCATTTAAATAATAGTCAGATTTATTCACTTGGACACTGGATTATCTTTGGATGAATTTAGTAACTGCGGCACTGTGTTGTTGTGTTCCCAGCTCCAACTACAAAGTGCTTTGAAATCTTTTTTTTCTTTGATTGGCCCCTCTGCCTGGAGCATTCTCCATGGCAACAGCTGCCAATGCTCATGGGTATTATGGTACTTAAAGCCGTCCAACATGCAAAACTACAGTTGGATGCATTTTCATTAGCGTATGGGATTGTTCCCTCATCTTTGAAAGTCCTTTGTTTCCATGTTGAGAAACACTGAGGATAATAACAAAGAAATTGAAGTGGGGAACCAAACTGGTAAAAAAGAAGCACTCTGCCCTCACTACTGGAACAAACGCTTCCATGCAACACCTCTGATCTGTCAGTGTGATTTTTACATGATCACAGCATGAGAGCGAGTATGACATGGAGAGAAGATTTACACATGTGCTTGTCAAATGTTTATTTTTGGGAGTAAAAGATTAATTGTACAATTTGTGAGCATTCCCAATGGCTTATGAACGTGTACAGGATGTGATGGATGACAGGTGTGCTGCTCTGTGCTCAGCACAGTGTGTGTGTGTTTATTTGGTTCTAAACATGGTAAAAAATCTCCCCAAATTGCTTTCACATTGGAGAAGAGGATTCTTTGATGAGTACCGTAAGATAAGGTAGGGAATCTGTTTTAACTTCCTCTATGTGAGCTTTATATTCGCTTATGCCAGAGCCATGTGGTTGTATTGAACACTTGTACACTTCTAGTTTTTATTTGAAGAACTCTGGATTTCCTGCCTGGTATTGACTTTCTGTTTTTCCTCCAGGGTGTCGTCTATCGAGAAGGACTCAAAGTACAAGCGCACATGGGGTCATAGAGGAGCCGACAACGAGAATGACTCCAACGGAGGAAAAGTGGTCTCCAGGCAGCCGTCGGCCGTCCGCAACGGGCAGGTCCAGGCCAACGCCTCGGCCCCCTCAGGACCCTACATCAAGAGGTGGGCCCTCCACCCTAATGTTGCCAGTGGCATGTTGTAAATGTTGAATTTCAGTTGCACAATTGACAGATTAAGACACATTTCTTGACGTTTACAGGATAACCAATGATGCTCGTGAGGATGAGATGGAAGAGAATCTGGACGCGGTCGGCAGCATCATTGGCAACCTGAAAAACATGGCTCAGGACATGGGCAACGAGATAGATAGTCAGAACAAACACATCGACGGCATCAACGACAAGGTGGGACATTAATGACATTTCAAACTTTTTAACCTGTTGGTTGGGCCTCAGGTTTACGTGCATTATTTCATCCTTAACAATTCACATTCTTCCACTTCCTGTTTAACTAGTTAATGCAAGTTTAAGGTGGAGTTATGTTGTAAATATTAAGTTGCATCCAGGGCTGCTCACTGAACTAAATCCATTTTTAAGTATTTGCAAAGCCTATGAGTCTGAATCCCTATTATTGTCCATGTTTACTTGGTCGAAGTCTTCTTCTACTCTGCCTTTGTTGGCGCACTGCTGCTGTTCATCTTGGTGAATTACTGCTTCCTGTTTATCATTGGACAGTGTGAAACTATTCCACGTACACAAGAGAACTCTTTTAAAACCAGCTAAATAGCATTAGAGTTGAAACAATCCCCTGGTAACCTTTTAAGTGTTTAAAAATATATTTAAAGTCAGTGAGTTGTATATGAAAGACAGGTTGCATACTGGTATAGCAACCCCTTCATCATCCGTTTCTCCTCTGTCTTCTTCCAGGCGGACATGAACAAGTTTCGTATCGATGAAGCAAACCAGAGAGCCAACAAGCTCATCAAGTAGACGAGGAACGCTTCTGCCAGTTTATTCTATCAACCTCCACCCTCTGTCGCCACACCCATACACCCACTGCACACTCGCGCACACTCACAGAAAATAAAAAAAGAAATTCAGTCAGGAAGAATATCTTTGCCGCCTGTGACATTTCTGCATTTTCTAAATCAGCCACCACCAACATACCCTTTGACACATGTATGTATGCTGGACTTTGAGAAGCATGAGGGCATCAGAAGCTGCACCGAGAGGAAGTGACCGCCTGCCCATCACTGCTGCTCATATCATATCTCACAGAAAGGGAAGTAGCAAAGGTCAGCTGCTTCGCTTTCTACTTCACCTTTTTCTTAAAGTTAATAACTCAGAACTGTTTCTCTCTGTGTGTGTGTGTGTGTGTGTGTGTGTGTGTGTGTGTGTGTGTGTGTGTGTGTGTGTGTGTGTGTGTGTGTGTGTGTGTGTGTGTGTGTGTGTGTGTGTGTGTGTGTGTGTGTGTGTGTGTGTGTGTGTAAAAAAATGCTCATACGCTGTCTTTAAGTAATATACAGCCTGTCGTTCGTTGAAGGATCACCCTAATGATACCCATCTGGTTTAATCGTAAAACGTACTCAAATTCTCATTGGCTAATTGTGTAATGTATCATATATAATAGATTTGAGATGATGTGCTTATTTAATTTTTTTTTTTCAAGCAGAAATGACTTGTGAATAAAGTTGTTGTTTTATAAACACTTTGTTCTCATGTCATTTAAGCCATTTCAGATGTAAAAGATATTTCAAAAATATATTAAATGTTGTGCTTTGGAGAGTCATGGCAAATCTTTCATGCTGGAATTCAAAGCCCCTTCTCCTAAATGTTTCTGACTCGAATCCAAGCTTGTTGTAACTTTTTGTGAGAGGTGTTGAACTGGACTTGGAAATGTAAAATATACTAATTACTTTTCCTTCAAATGAGAAGGAGGGTCAGTAAGCATCATGAAAAACCTTCATCAGGAACTCCTCCAAAGCATCTAGTTTATTTTCTAATAAAACTAAATATGTGAATCATGACGGTGTTGAATAACGGTGGTTTATTATCCGTGGGTCGACTGCTGTTCTTCATGTTTAGTGTCTCCTGCGGTTTCTCCCTCTGATGTAAATACTGAAAGATATTGTAGCTGTTTATATTAATTTCCTAAAGTAATCCTGTTAATCTAATTTCATTTTTCTTTCCTCCCTTCCTCCTGACTAATAGAGATGTATAGCACCCAGGAGGAGATTTAACTTTGAATGCAGGGTTCCTTCACAAGTCTGAAATTAATATCCTCAGGTATTATAATTGAACAGTTTGTAAAATTATTCTGAAAATAAATGTTCAGTTCTAAAACACAGGGCTGTGCATTTTTTAAATCTGCTACTAGTTCTCATATAGGCTGCCGTCATATGCAGGAGTTTTATAATAAAAACCTAAAATGTAAGTAATTACTATAAGTTATAAATGTGCAGGAACTCTGCCTTTGTAGATGATCCATGGTTGTGTTGTAACAGCCGCTGTATCAAACAGCTACTCTTGCATCTGTTATGTAAATAGCCAGTTTTCACAGCACAACTGCGGTGAAATGATAATCTTATGATGGAAAGCATAATTTGTTTTGTCAAATCCGTAGCCAGGCTGAGAAATTACCCCTGGCAGCAAGATGCAAAAGTATACACGTTAAATGAATGCAGTTTAGGCGGAAGCGTAGAAGCAGAATAAGTCCTGCGGGCTCTATTAAGGCCTCACTGTGAGAAATTGGGTAAAGATAAAGTAATACTTTATTCCTCATTCAGAACAATGGAAAGGCTCTCCTTTCACAGCACATCTCCATGGCAACCTTTGATCTCTGGGCTCAAGTACACAGGTGTTTGATAACGTCGTCACCATGGTAACCTTTGATCTCTGGGCTTACACACACAGGTGTTTGATAACGTCGTCAATGTCCCTCCTCGACTCCTCTCGCCTCCCCTCCTCGGGACTTGACCCGGAAATCGATCAAGACCCGTCATGTTGAAGGACGTCCCAATCTCTTAAATGCACATGGGGTGTTTCTTAATGTCAAGGAAGGATCCTCTAGAGCCACTATATCAAGGATACTCCGTCATCGAGTCCTGCCGAAGGACTGTTCCAATCAATAAATCAATGTTTATTTATATAGCAGCCCAATATCACAAATGTTACATTTGTCTCAGTGGACTTCACAGTTTGTACAGAATATCAGTATGACAATACGACACCCTCTGTCCTTAGACCCTCACATCGTACAAGGAAAAACTTCCGGAGAAAACCCACAGTTTAAAGGGAAAAATGGGAGAAACCTCAGGGAGAACAACAGAGGAGGGATCCCTCTCCCAGGACGGACAGACGTGCATCAGATGCCGTGTGTAAATTGAAAAGATAATACATTTGCAACATCGGTAGTCCAAATGTTTGGAAATGCATGTGTCTATAATAAGAAGATGAATCCACGAGGATATTCATCCAGGACTTATGATCCAGAAGTCAGGACCACAGCCACGACTCAAGATCCAGGGCTCGCGATCCAGTACACAGGACCGCAGCAACAGGATCATCCATGACTCCGGATCCCGGCGTATGTAGACACCAAAAAGAAAGACATTTTGGGAAGCTGGGTTAATCGGAACAGTTAATGTCCAGGATCCTTGGAATTCTACCGAGGCTGGAGTCCTTCGTTGCGGGAAATTTCGAGGATGCATATGTGTATCTATGTCTTAAAATCCCCACAATGCTTTGCGCACGGACCAATTTCCAAAATCTTTGTCGGAAATGGCTGAATCCAGGCAGTACACATTTAAATGTAAGTATGTTCAGTGGCGTAGTAAATGTGCACATGACTTGTGTTTAAAGTTTGAGTTTTGCCCGTGTGAAATCAAACCAAACCTTCTGAAAAATGAAACAAACTGTCACCTGGGGCCTCATTTATAAAGGGATATACGCTCAAAAAACGGCGTACGCCAGTTTCTACGCAATATTTGCGATATATAAAATACTAACTTGACGGGAAAATGTGCGGTCCTCCACGCAAACTCTAACCCATGCGTACGCACTAAGCACAAAAACGGGAGAGACGAGAAACTGCGACACCGCGTTGGCAGAAGGAAGAATGGAGAGAAATATGTGGAAATAATACCATAAACAAAATGTTACCTCTCATTTATCATATGAAGAATTCATTTTCAAACATTGATTAAAGCCAATCTTAAAATGATTAAACAAACGCCTGTTTGAGACTCCTCAGTGCACACAAGAACATAACTTGGAGAAATAAATAAATACGGATATGTTATTTAAAAGCACCTCGAATATGTTGTGTTAATGTTATGAAATGTTTTCTCATAAATGATGCGGTTTTGCATTTCTATAGGTTGTACGAGCATGGTTTTATATACTACCATGTTTAATCATGTTTTATGCCGTTTGCTAAGACTTGATAAGTCGCTCATAAAACACAGGATGTATGGAAACTAAGAACACCATATGTGGTCAATTGTACAGCTAATATAACACAACACATTAGTTGTATTTCCTTTAACTGGTGGATATAGAGTTGCTGCAGTGGAGACGCTGCGCACAGCTGATCGACAGCTGGGACACAAACCACCAAAAACATAATTCAAATCCAGTCATCATGACTCCACTCCGGAGGGATTCCCCGATCATTTCTTACAGTTTCTCATCAAGGGGGGGTCTCCTGTCCCCGGTGCAAACACACTGACTGAGGAAGGCTATGTGTATTTTTTTTGTCATTAACCTTTTTCGGACCTCTTATTTATTTATTTTGGTGACGATCCGACCTCCATGCTGCTACTCTGGTTCAAATGGCATCCACCAAACAATATGATTTATCTCGACCTCCCCAAAATAACCAAAATCTGACACGGTGTGAGATGTCTTTTTTAGCTGTTCTGTCGTCATTTCCTGCGATCTTCTTTATTCAGTCAGTCAGAATGAATGAATGAATGGGCGTTTCTTTGACTATTTATAGGCAAATATGGGCGTTACGTGAAGCCCGCAAAAGCTACACCGCATTTCGAGTCGATTGTGATTTATAAAGGGAAACCGGCGTAGGAAGTGCTGTACGCACTTTCCTCGCCGGTACGCAATGTTTGGTGAATCGGAAAATGTCGGAACATTTCTGTACCTATTTTTTGGATTTCTACTAGCCTACGTAAGCAACCTTCCCACGTGAATCCTACGCACGGCGTTATAAATGAGGCCCCTGGTGCGCACCAGAGAAGCGGACTATTAGGTTTGAATGAGACCTTAGACTCTAAGGTCTCATTCAAACCTACTATTATTTAGGTGTAAAACGCTCTATGGCATAGAGCGTTTTGCACCTAAATAATTTAAATGAACCTTGTTTTGACTTTGCCTCTTTTGTTGATATTTGTGGTTTATGCTACAATGTGCACCAATATGTGTAAAAAAGGTTTGCAGACATCAAGTATGATATATGAATGGAAAGGATGTAGGCCTACAGAAAAAAATTTTTGGAAAACTATGAGAATGAAGAAAGGTGATGAAGATGAGAAATGATTGTAAATGTATGTATAAATGTAAATATGTAAGAAGGAATAACTTGCAGAAATGATTTAAAGGATCATCATTGATCAGCAGTAAGTATGGGGTGGGAATTATAAGCATTTGCTTCCTCCTGCTCCCTTTCGGACACATGATTTATTATTATGAATATTTTTGTTGAATGTATAAATATTATTATGAATACTGATAAATACTGTATTCTAACAATACGGTATTCTGTTATTCACATATTTGTTTTTTTAATCTGTTCGAAATAAAGATGGAAATGAAAAATGAAGTGAAATACACATTTTATTATTAATTGGTGATGGTGATTTTATGATTTGGCGGAGGTGGGGGGTGTCCTGGCCACCCTATTGGCCCCCCCACACACCCACATCACAGCCGTCCGTAGCCGTCACTAGTTTTCCCCGTAGCCGGCCCGTCACTAGTTTTCCCCGTGCGGAACCATTCCTGTAATATCCTCCTGGGAACCGAGGAATTTTTCTTTTTTCCAATCTTCTTTATTTTTTATTTCCTACCTATTTAGGGTTAAAAAAAAACATCTTGCAATTTAGACTTTTTTAATTTAATTAGATTTTTAAATGTTACAGTATGTCCACTGTAGAGGACGTCAGGACCATTTTTGTTTGAAAAGACAGCCAAAATGAACAGATAGACTATGTAACGTAGCCTATTATAGAGTGATATTAATACAATAATACATTCACCTTTATTTAAAACATAAATAAGTAATTTATCTGAACATTGCTGTTTATTTGATCACTAAAAAACTAGTTTGGTTTTTGGTGAAACTTTCCAGATCTTCAGAGACTTTGTAGTCGATGTACTGGGAAAGTACCTCATTGGACTCCAGTCGGCACGGGCTGTAGGGTCATCTATGTCTGTATCCAGGGACGTGCACAGGTACGGGCTAATGTTGCCCGGGCAACGGCCCGTTTGGCCTTTTTGGCTGACCTGCCCCGCTGGAGAGAGCGAGAGTTTGTTTGTCTTTTTTCTGTTGTGGCCGAATCAACATGATAAGCCCACAATTAGTATTGTAGCGTCCCGCTGCGGGAAACACACTTTGTCAGCGCTGTCATCTGCCGGTGCGTTAAAGACCACCTCTAGTGTCGGATTTTGGAAACTTGATTTTGAGTTGTCTAACTGGCAGTTAGGGTATAAGGGACAACCCTGGGGACTTAACTTCCTCTTGATACCGTCGGTTATTTACCAAAAAACACCTAAATATAGCCTACTTGTTGTTATTGTGCTTCTGTCTTTCTGTGTTTTTCATCTGTAAACTCCCTCAACGCGCCGCTCGCTCTCTTTTCTTGATCGCCCTCTCACGGGTGAACAGTTCAATGTCCGGCTTCAGTGTAGGATTTCTGCCATGTCTCTACCACTTTAGTTTGAGCATCTCTGTTACTAAGTTATGGAATACTAAATAACTAAGTAATTGAATAGATACCTTACCGTTACTGCGCTCATAAAGAATGATAAGAATAAGAATAATGCGTATTGAACTGGTTTCATTAATTAGTGAGTTTATTTAAGGTAATTAGTTAGAGGCCCTATTTTATCAGTATGTCCTGCACAGCAGTTACAATGGTCAAACTACATTAGAACAGAATTGTCCCCATTAGATATTTTAATGAGATATGGACTGCAAAACATTTTTTAAATCAAGTCACCGAATGCAAGTACTCACCTTAGCTTATTTTGTTATGATATGTGAATCACTGTTCAATTTGGTTGATGTAATAATCGTTTGGTTCTTTTACATTAAAAACAAGTTACAATTTTCAAAAGGTCTTGTGTTTTTTTTGGGGGGAGGCCCTTTTTCCAGTTTAGAGCAATAGCCCCTCCAAATATCTGTGCACGTCCCTGTCTGTATCTGTGCGCTGATGGATCCTCCTGCATCTTTTCCCCCCTTCTTCTTGACCCTCTTCTATCCCAGATGTGAAATCCTCATCTCTCTCATCATCTGAGAGCTCAAAATCTGAATCTCCCTGAACTATCTGTTACAGAAAATGTCTGCTTCAGTTCTGTCTCCTGCAACAATATTGAGTCATTAAGTCCATGGAGATGGTCCTGACGTCCACTAGAATGGACATTTATAAAAGAGCTGTTATTTCAAAACTTGAATTATTTAATTGCTTTCAGAACTAATTATATAGTTCCTTACATGTTAATAAACAAGAACATATTTGATTTTCATGTTAAAAATAACAATTATTCAACAATATTTGACTTCTCCTCTTGCTTCTATAACATGTTGTGTAATTCATGGCACAATTCAAACGGGATCGAAAGATACGTTGTCTCTCTCCTTTGACTTCAATACATAATTTTTCCGAAATAAGGTCCATTGGACCGGAAGTAGATGGGCGTGACGTCAGGTAAAAAAAAAGGTATTTAGCCTTCCCAAACCTGAGCCTCACGCGCCGTCTATGTAGCTAACTTTAGCTAACTTCAAGTCCAACACAAAACCTCTAACATGCATTACATTGACGATTTTAAACTAAACTTAACCCCCTCAACTTGTAAAATAACGTTCATTTAACTTACTCTTACATAACTACATCACGTTTTTCAGGGGCAACACAAACTGCAGAAAACGTTAGCTGCTAACTGTTATTAGCTAAGACAGCTAGCTCTTGTTAAGGGAAGTAACAATAGCCTCCTAGAAAACTTAAGGTTACGTTAACATTAAGTTAACGTTGTAAGAACTGTGTTTCAACCACTGCTGTCTCGCAGTTCCTCCGTGTCCCGCCCTCTCTGTCTGTCACAGTATGTCTGTCTCTGTCTGTCTCTCTGTATATGCTCACTATTGAGTGAGGATTGAAATGGACTTGTTCAGGGCTTTGTGTTGCTGCAAGTGTTCAGCCTGTAACTTGTCAGCTGAGATCTCATTAGAGTCGCCTGAGGCGGACTCGCTGTCTCCGGGCTGTTTATTCATTGTTTTACCAACAGCCACTGGAATGTAAATCCACCCGTTTTGTCCATTTCTGAATATGTTCACATGCAGCTCGTCTTATCTGAAATTAGCTTGGTTAACAGATACAAAAATGCCTTTTGTTTCACACAGGTGCCTTGTTTGTATTCAATAAATCTATTCTGAAATTCATTTTATTACACCTTTTTTGTATTAGCATTTAGAATGAAACACTGGACATGAATTTTAAAACAAAAAAAAGGGACGGTCAAATAAACCCAAACACTTATAGTTTCAAGGAGTTTATTTTAAAGTTTATTCTCTCAAAATGTATTTGATATTTCCAACATTTTGGGATATTTTACATAGCTAGAGAGTACAAAATGCAGATTAAAAACCACTGAACAGAAAAGGCAGGAGTGGAGGAATAAAAGTGGATGGAGGAGGTGACGGAGTATAGGAAGTGTCAGAATCTGAGTTACTAGATATAGTGACAGATTAAAACAAGACCTACGTGATGCAAGTTTCCCATAACATTTAGAGGTGCGTTTATAACAGAAATGGGAGTACTGGTACTAGTAGCAGTACATCGTAGGAGTGATGTTCCTCTGGCCCTCTGCACACGGGAACATATCTGTATTCCCTGTTTAGGCTGCCACAAGAACATCAAACATGTAAATATTTTTGCACAGAGATCATCATGGCACTACCATATGTCCTCTGGAGCTGAACAGTCTCATTCATCTTTCTTCACCTGACTTCCATCGTTCCTTTGAGGTCACTTGAGTTGGGTCGTAGTTCAGAGACAGAGCCCACAGTACAAGGCAAGACGGCAGTGGGAGTGTGTGTGTGAGTGTGACAAATGGACATTATAAATGCAGTTTCACATACTGTACATACTCTGTATTCCCTGTGTATGCATATCAATAATAATTTATTATTCTATAATGGCTTTATTGTTGAAACGTACCTAATTCTCCCTTCCTTCTCCTCCTTTACATTCATTTTAAAGACACATTCCCTCAGCTCCACACTGCTACTGTTTGATCATCGCTTCAGATAGAGAGCATGCCTGGTCCTGTTGTGTGGTTTGGAAAAGCAGTCGAGATTCATCTGACCTACAGCTTGTCCTAGACTTTGGCTTGTAACGGAAAACCTTTTTGAATAAATGTCCAGTCTCCTTTACCGCCCTAACAAGAGCAACTAGTTTAAATGGCTTTAATTTGACCCACAACATTTTCTGGCAAATAAGATGTAGTTTTGTGAGATCAGAGGGGTGTTTCATAAAGTTAAAGAACAAATTAAAACAAGCTTATTTAGGCAAAAATGTTCTTCTAAAATGAGGTTTAAATAAGTCAAAATAAGTCGGAAATAATTTTGTTTAACTAACTTAAATCTATATATGGGTGTAGTTTTGTTTTGTTTAATATCTATGTCTCTGTGAGTGCAAACATCACAGTTGTTATGGGTGTCAGATTGAACCAGACTTCACTTTTCACAATCCGATGTGCTCTCCTATGAAACACCCTCAGCTAACAGAATACATTTCCATATGTGTGACCTTACAAGCCAAAGTCGAAGACAAATAAGGCGGGTCAAGTTGCTCTTGACTGAAGGTTCAAGAATATCACAATAGCACCATATCAAACTAATGTAAAACATACTTCATGCATCTGTAGATATATATATATATACTGTAGATATGAATAGATATGAAATGTAGGGTTCAATACACAAGTGTTGAATATATTTCAAGTTCACAGAAATAACTACTGCCACAGTTCAGCTGAGAATACAACCGGACCAGATCTGTATTCAGAGCCGATAGTGGCGCCTCATGACTGCTCGTATATCATCAATTAAAAATCTCAACAGTCGAGCTCTTCACAGTGCATAGAGCATTTACTTTGCATGCCTGCAATGACACTTAGTGTCTGTGCCCTGTACAGCACTGCGCTTAGCTCATCACCAAGTCCCCACGACGCATTTACAAAGCTTTTTAAAGCCTGTTAAACTCACTCAAGCTTTTGTGCTCCAAATTAAAATAGCACAGTATTACAGTTCACAACCATTGTATAAGGCAGGATGATTTAAGTACTCCTCAGTAATCTTGAGGAGTACTTGTTCATTACAGGCCTTCATTTTGTACATGGCTATATCAAAGCTTGCCGAACTGAAGCTAAAAATTGCAACAAAAGCAACAAAATAAAAGTTTAACAAACATTCTTTGGTTGAGTGTAAAAAGGAGCATTCCTGTGCTTTAATTGAATTGCTTTGAATTTGGCATTTTGTTATAAAGAACACAAAGAAAAAAGTGGACCTTTGCAACAGTACGCTTAAATACAGGCAAAATAGTGATGGCTTTAACCTAAACTACAATAATTCTCGCTAAATAATATAAAAAACCTAGTGATTAAAAAGCTGGCTTCGACTGATTGTACACAAATACTACTTTCTCTTTCCAGGTTGCCATGACAACCTCCCCCCCTCCCTTTGGCCTCCCATCTTCCTTTACTTCTTCTTGCCAGCGAGACTGAACTTCTTTTCTTTTTTGGCGGCACTGGGCTCAGGCAGGGCAGCTGAGGAGGAGGGAGGGGGCAGGCTGTGGGTTTTGGCCCCCGAGGGCCCCGACGCCTCCTCCGCTGCCAGGGGCTGGAAGGCCCTCTGCATGGCCTGGCTCCAATGCTGGAGCTCCTCCTGAAATTAAACGCAAACACAGAGGTTTAGAGGGAAGTCCACCTCCGGAGGGGCAGTGTGTGTTTTTGTGTCTTGGTCTATTTGAATTAACAAGTGAGAGGGTTCAAACATTTAGATTGATATAGATAAAAACAAGCTTGCTGTGGATTATTATCACTTGTAATGTTCCCTCTAGGGTAGTTTCGCTTACAGGATGTAAATGTGAATAACCTCATTAAGTCAAACACTTAAGCCTACAGAAATAACCTTTGACCAAATTAGTGACACATGTCAAACTAATATAGCTCTTAAAACTAAATGTAGATATGAATGTATGGTCTGCAGGAAATACTAATAACTATTTATTTACATTACATGAGGTCAAAGATAATATAATCACATGCCAAGTCCAGAACTTTCAGCCTCATGTTATTCACGAAAAGCTGTTTTAAGTTATTGATCGTTAATCTATTCACGGTTAAAAACTCACCTCGTCTTTACACTGGAACAAATACTCACTGCCGTCTGAAAGGCTGAGAGAGGAAAGAAAATTAAACGTTGTTGTGCGGTGAAATACAGAAAGAAAAGTGCTTTATTTGAACTTCTATTTGGACATTTAGTGTACCATGAATAGTAAACTAGTTTCCAAAAACACATTTTATTTCAGTGATCTAACCTATGACGCTCTAACTTACTTTATAATCATTGAAAAAACATCCCTAATGTTTGTTTCAAACCAACCCTCCTTTGGAAGCAATTAGCTTAGCTTAGCATACAGACTACAGACCGGTTGTGGTTTTACAGGAAAATGTGCGGGGCTATTTTTTGGCTGAGAGAACATAATTCCCCCTCAAAAACAAAACACTTCTCATCTAACCCAAATTAACATGTTCCCAATATGTCTCACTATTCCTTAAATAAAAAGCTGCAGAAAGAAAAGGATTCTCACCGCAGTTTGCAGATGTGCTTCTTTTTCTTGTAGATGTTGAGGATCTCCCAGCTGGCGTCACTGAGGAACAGAGGGTTCTCTCCGTGGTACGTGACGCCATGGCTGTAAGTCTTCAGATCCTTATAGGCTGAGAGCTGCTCTGGCTTCAGCACAAAGAACAAGGTGGTCCATGACCTGCGAGGAGGAGGAGGAGGAGGAGGAGGAGGAGGAGGAGGAGGAGGAGGAGGAGGAGGAGGAGGAGGAGGAGGAGGAGGAGGAGGAGGAGGAGGAGGAGGAGGAGGAGGAGGAGGAGGAGGAGGAGGAGGAGGAGGAGGAGGAGGAGGAGGAGGAGGAGGAGGAGGAGGAGGAGGTTATTTTGTATATATTGATTGTTGTGTTTTTATCTTAATGTGTGCATGATGTAAATGTGTCTGTTGATTGTATACATATGTGTGTATTTGTATAATTTTTTTAAGGTTCGGGATTGTTGGAAACGTTATTTCGATCTCTGTCTGTACACACAAACTGAAAGATTGACATTAAAGTTGACTTTGACTTTAAGACTTACATTTTGTAATTAAAAATAATGATAGCAGCTCTTTACTCTGTAACAACTGTAAATAGTGTTTGTTAGCTAGATTTATTTGTGTTGCTTGCTTGTTAACAAACTGACTTTTATCCCCTGTTTAATCAACTTGAAAAGTAGATGGTTAATATGTTGTTATTGCTGATGTGCAAAAACTAAAAAACCTTGAAACTGAAAGTGTTCAAAAACTGCTTACCAGCTATAATACAGTTGTATATTTCTAGGAGTTTTTTTTTGTTTTAATATGTTAATTTCTTTAGAATACGGAAATCTAAAGAGAACTCTTGAAGCTGGCTTGAGTTGTTTAATCCCTCCCAAATAAAATGAATGTAGAAACCTCGGTACTTATTTGTGTTGTTATATTTGTTTATTGTTGCTGCTTGGTATAACTGCATATTGATTGTGTGTTTGATATGTAGCTTAACTTAAAGAATAATGAAAGAAAGAAAGAATACAGACTTAACTGTGATGAATAAAGAAAGTTGGTAACTTTTCCTGTGTGGTCATATATTTTCCTATTTCAAAGAACTGAATGTCTGGAATGGGTAACGATGTAAAGACTAGGAGGAGGGTGTAATACTGATCATGTCAGGTAGCTAAGAGTAAGAACAACAACATCACATTAAATCCATTAAGACTTATATTTTGTAATTAAAAATAAGGATTGCAGCTCTACACTGTAACAATTTATTTTGTTGCTTGCTTGCTAACAAACTTACTTTGACCCCCTGTTTAATCAACTTGAAATCATAGGCACCACTTTCCCACCACCATCATCTACACTCACTTTTAAATCAAGTAGATGGTTCATATTTTGTTATTGCTGATGTTCGTGTGCAAAAACATTGAGACTGAAAGAGTTTTTTAAAACAGTTTGCCAGCTGTAATAAAGTTGTGTTCATTTCTTTAAAATACAAAAATCTAAAGAGAAGTCATGAAACTTACTTGAGTTATTTAATCCCTCCCAAATAAAATATTTATGAATATATAATGAGTTGTTATATTTGTTTAAGTTACATTTGTGCTGCTTGGTATAGCTGTGTGGGTGCATATTGATTGTGTGTTTGATATGTAGCTTAACTTAAATGATAATGAAAGAAATAAATGTGAAGAAGATGGTAACTTTTCCAGTGTGGTCATATATTTTCCTATTTCACAGAACTGAATGTCTGGAATGGGTATTGATGTAAAGACTATTAAACATTTGGTAAATGCGCAAAAATGTAAAAATCGTTTTTCCTATGCTCTTACCTATTTGAAGCCTTCTTTCCTGAGCCATCCACATCGTGTTTGCGTCCCAGCATGCCCGCCTGTAGCACCGTCTGGGCTCTGAGGGTCTCCAGGGGCATGGTGGCCGCCCTCTCTGGCTCCATCGCTGCCGACACAGAGGGGTCCAGCTCCGGAGAACCACTCTCCCTCATTTCGGACTCGATGGGCACCGTGGAGTCACCGGCCGTCTCCTCCAGCTGACCTGAACTGGGCTCAACTGCACCGAAACCAGACTGATGGAGAAGGGGAAGAAGGCAGAAAAAAAACAGGCTGTAATTAATTGCTTGAAAGAAGGAATTTGGAGGAACTTAACCGCCTTTAAGAAATGCCACATGTCCACACAGTCAGTGGTAAAGGTTGGCCTCACAATGGTCCGTGACTACATTCTCAATGGCGAAATTAAAATCATGTGAAGAATTGATGACATCTTTTTAACAAAATAACTGATGGATGCACTTTAAATGAATGGTTGTTGAAAAAAACTAAACATTTTGATGTAATAGGGGTATAATTGTGTCGTTTTTTTTAAAGCAGGAAAATGTACATGCATTTTTTCTCTGTAATGGATGTGCCTGAAATCAATGAAGCGTCTAAAAAGTTAAAAGTTAAAGTGATGGGCTCGACTGCACCAAAACCAGACTGATGGAGAAGGGGAAGAAGGCAGAACAAAAACATGAATGGAGGGGAAGTGAAATAGGGTCTGAACATAGTCACATTTATTTTCTTTAATAGCAAGTAAGTTAAGTAGGTATTTAAAATAAAGGAGTTAGTATAATAAGTACAGAAGAAAGGCTGATTATATTTGCTTAAACCTGCTCCCAACGGGTAGAGGAGCAGAGTGAGGGTAGTTACTAACCAGAGTCTGATCCTCAATGGTGCAGAGCTGCGAAGAGTCCTCTACAAAACCTGTGTCTTCTCTCCTGGAGGGAAGAGAGCGGCATGGAGTCAGAGGAGAGACTTTTAAGCAGCCAAGCAACAATGTGTGCAGGAAGAAAAACAGAACAGCTTGTACTTTTTTAGGATGTTTGTGAGGATTGTTTGTATGCATGTGTGTATTCCTAAAAGGAGCACATGTACTGAATCATTTCTCAAAGAACATGTGACATTAAATCTGTTTATTTTTTTATTTGAATCATACCCAGTCCATTTCTTTGTCCTTCAATGGCTAACATGTAATGCATTACTCTGCTACAGCCTCAAACTGAGTGTCTTCATACTATTACATGTTTTATTTATACATACTTTAAACGTTTTTGTATGACATTATAGGAATTTTTTAATTATTTTGATGACATACTATAATAATATTGTCTATGACCTTTTAACAAAAGTCATATTGTTGACCTGCCACACTATGGCCTTTTTCGACATAATACACTGCAACCAAAATATACTATGCTACGCTTTTTTACGACTTGTTTCAACATACTATCCTGTGTCTTTTATTATTATTATTTTTACATTTCATGGTTCGTTTTCCAACAAACTTTACTAGGACTACTTTATGAACTTTTCCAACAAACTTTACTAGGACTTTTTCACATTTTCTAATTGAAGTGTGTAATCATTTTTCTGTGTGGTCCTATGTTTGTCAATATACTCTACATTGGCATGCAGTCATAAACACTTTGAGAACCTATGATGTACAGTATATAAATATATCTCTATACATTTTTGAGTGTGTGTACCTGCTGTCCTTATCAGAGAGTTTCTCTTCTTGAATGAACCTCTCCATCTCCTGTTGCTGATTCCTCAAATCCAACAACTCCATCTGCAACACATAAGTTAATTGAAATCAGTACTTAAACAATTATTTAATCAATTAAGTAAGATTATATCACACATTACCATCCTCAGTCTCATGAACCTAATATTTCTAGTTAAAGTTGTAGTGTAACTCTTTTGGTTAGATTTTTCCCAATCGTTTAAAAGATTTTATAGCTCATTGTGTTGTTTGTGCATACCGTAGTGAGGCGTTCTAGTGCGGAGAAGCGCTCTTCCCAAGTGGCGGTGGACTTCTCGAAGGCCTCGTGCCTCTTGATGAGTTTCTCCACCTCGTCCACAGTGTGTCCGAGGTCTCTGCTGGACACGTAGGGCTCCTGAGCGATGAGCCAGGCCTCCGCCACCGAGGCGTCCCGCGCAAACTGACACACCTCCAGCACTGCAGGCAGCAAAGACATCATTAAAGGTAATCTATTATGCAAAATCCACTTTTTCATGTCTTTTATTTATAAACATGTGTCCCCTCTGTGTAAAGAGATTCTGAAAGTTTCAGGAAAAAATATTTGCTCACTTTTTGTCCTGATCCATTTCTATAAAAACCTGTCTGAAAATGAGCTGATCAGATTTTGCCCACTTTATGATGTCATAACTATTTTTTGGCTTGTGTAACCATTAGCCAATCACCAACCAAGGTAACCCCCCCCCCCTCCCCGAGATATGTTTTGTATATATCTGAGACCTATAATATATTGAGGAAAAACAGTGTAATAGGGGACCTTTAAGAGAGCGCTAACAGTGTAGTCCTTACAGTCAAGCAATTTCAAAAGAAAGTATCCATAAATATTAATGCTGGCCATAATTTGAACCATACTGTTTATACAGTCACATGAATATATCAATATATTTTGGACTCAAAGACTATTTTATGGGGGCGTTTATAATGGGAAAACGTAGCTGGAAGTTCATGTTACGGGCTGAAAATTGCATTGTGTAGCAATTTTTAAAAGTAACATTACAAAACTTTTTGGAAGGCAGACTTCTATTAAAAAGTGGGATCATTTTTTTAAAAGGTAGAGCACTTGTTCTTTGAAACTGAGGACATATATTGGAAGGGGAAAACATGTCAAGACGTGGAGAACATTTAAGAACGGGAGGACATTGTCAGAAATATATGACACTCCTTTTCTGTAATTGTAGCAACACTTGTCTGGACTTCAACCTGACGTTCACAGAACAGAGAGCTGTATTAAAATGTAATAAATTAAACTCTGATTCCAAAGTTAAGTGGGTTGAATCTCTCGGTGTAAGATAAAATACATATTGTATTGAAACACAATCATAGTACATCTTTGTATTTGTGTACATGTGTAAATGTTTGTATATACTGTTCACATTTGTTAGTGTCATGGCATTTGGCAGTTTACCATAGATGTGTGAGATTATTCATGTACAGGATTTGTTTTTCGGGTGGAGGTTGGTGTATTTTTACTCACAGAGTCTGAGCCAGTCCCATCTGTCATCCCACTTGAACATCATCTCCTTCCTTTTGTCTATCAGCTGCACCATCTTCTCTTTGATCTGGCACAAGCAGTTATACAGTCGCAGTTACATATCAGCAATATTAAACAACTCAGCACAGAGACCGGCTATTATCCTCTAAGAACTAGTATTGGGAAGTAATTAATGGCACATTAAATTCAGGCCCGGGTCAATTGCTCATTCAAATTCTTTGGCTTTTCCATTTCTAATTAGTGTGTGCCTTATAGTCCCCCTGATGAATGAAAGATGAGTGGATATTTTTCTTTCGTGGCAATCCAATTGGTTCCATTGTGCCAGACAAGAACAATCTCTCCCAGAAAAGTCATTAAATCTAATGAAAGCAGCAATTTAAGGCCCAGCTGAGGATGAAAAGAAGCTGTCTCTGCTGCCGAAGCCTCACCTCAGCAGAGTCTCGGTGCTTTCGAGTCAGCAGGGCTTTCCCCAGGTCTATGCAGGCGGTGAATTTGCCTCCCCTGGCCTCGATCTCCGAGCGGATCCCCTGGTGGTACTTCTGCAGGAGCTCCACGGACGAGACATCCCTGACGCAGAGGAGGGGAGGATAGAAAGTCATAACATGTACAGTAATGCTTGAAGTTTATCTACCTCTGTTGGTAGGGACTGGAACTGCAAAGGTTGTTACCAGGCAAGATTTCAGTGTTGTTTAATGTAGTTGTGTTATATAAATCCTACCAGTAAAATAAAAAGTCTCATAAAGAGATATTATTCCAAAGCTAAAAAATGTACATGTCTTAAGAGAAATGAGAAAACACCCGTTGGAAATGGCAAACATTGATATTGACATACTATGACTCAGAAGAGATTCTGTTGTTTCCACGCAGCAGCAAAAATTGAAAAAGAATATGTATAAAAAAGTACTCATAAATACTCGTAAATATGTATTTAACTCAGGTTTTAGTTGGAGGGATTTTTTTATTTCTCTCTACCCACAAAAAAATCGACATTTCTATTGACTTTTTTAAAATTATGTGAATAAAAAGTAAAACTCAAACACTCAAAGGGAATGGTTTCAGGTTTGTTTTTCCATCTGTGTGAATCAGAAATCAGATGCTGCCCCTTGCTCTTTTGGAATTAGCAGAGATGAATGTTAAAATGTACTGAATGGATCTAATAAGATAAGATAAGATGGACCTTTACTAATTCAGTATTGTAACAGCCACAGGGTAAGGATGAAAAACAGGACAGCACAGATTTACAGATAAAATCAAAGATAAATATTTAAAATGATAAAATAACTATAAAATAAGAAATGAATGAAAATGAACATAATATTTGGTCATGTATACATATTATTTACATGTGTGTGTGAAAACAGTGTGTTTTTTATGTCCGGTAATTGTATCACATTGTTGACCTCTAATAAAGCTGTGAAGCCATTGTCCGAGCACTGGGTCTCACCTGGGTTTCTCCTGAGTGTCTATCTGCTGGATGATGCTCTCCATCCACGCCATCAGGTCTCGCACCGTAGTGAAGAAGCGGAACTTCTCAGCGGTGTCGACCAGCTGTGCTCGGCGGCCATCGCAGGCGTCCAGCAGGCCCCTCCAGGCCTCCAGCACCTCTCGCTCTGTGGCCTGGATGGTGTCCGCCTGGCTGCCTGCGTACTGGGCATGCAGCCGTGAGGCGGTCTCCTGGAACTGTTGAACCTGGAGGAAGGAGGGGAAGCAGGGGTAAAATCAATGAAGTTAAAGTCTACCTCTGGTGTTTTGGTTTTCGCTACTTGAGATCGATGTTTGACCTTCACTCGGCTTTACTGTATCTCCAGAGATGACACTAGAAGGCTGTTTCACATTAAACTGCTGAAGGTAGGAGAGTTTCTCTCATTACTCAGAATACATTTGAGTTTATCATGTGAAGACAAGAGCAGGATTTTGTGACATCAGAACTAGTTTGGATCAAAAACTTGGCCTAATATGCAACTTTCACAAGTGTTACTCAAAGATATGTAAGGGATAGATCAGAGGGAAAACTGCAGTGTAGGGTGATGCTGAAGAAATATTGATAAGTACAGCTTTAGATTTTTAAATCAGATCAGATGATGGTTCAGCCGAGAGCAATAGGATTAAGAGGCTGGAAATAATGTAAGAAAACAAACATTGGACCATTGATGACTTAAGTGTTGCATTACTCTCTCCTCCCTCCAGGTTTAAATCCTCAAAGTGTGCCTCCTGCCTGCTGGGTTCCCTCAGATTAAAAAGGTTTTATCCTCACCTGTTTGCCGAGAGCAGTGATGTCTCTCTCGAAGGCGGCGTGCATCCTGTGGAAGGACTCGGCTTTACTGAAGTCCTCTCCCACATCTTCAGGCAGCTCTTTCTGCTTGTCGTGGATCTGAGCCACTAACTCCTTTCCATCGTCATAGTACCTGAAAACAAAAATCTATCTTTCAGGGTCTTCTGTGTGTTTCATCATATGTTTAAACCTCTTCACGGAGAGATACTGCAAGTCCTTCCTTCCTGCAGCGGTCAGACTATATAACCACCACGGCCCCTAGTAGACCCCACCCCCCCCACACACACACAACAACACAGACTGTAACACTCCTTGTTGTTAACCACCAACTATGTGCAATATGTGCAATATATATATATATGCCGTTAATAACTGTGCAACATATACCTGGCTACTAAATTATCAGAACTATTACAGGATTTGTTTTTTGTAAATTGTGTAACTTTTTCTTTTATGCTACTTAGGTAAAAAAAAATTGTATTTGATTAGATTTATTTCGAATGTGTAAAACAATAATACAAAAATGTAACATGAGAATTATTATACAATACCAAATTAAGCAGTGTCAAATTCATATACAAAAATATGACTGATTCTAAGTTATATAAACAAATGATCTACTTAATTACACATCTGAAAAGGGGCGGGAAGAAGTTTACACTTATTTAATCCCACCCATCCTCCCAAAAAGTAAATTATTAACATATGTTTTTTAAGCTGTCTTTGGCTCTTTTCTGCTGTAACGTACATAATAAAGGTATTCTGATTCTGATGTTGTATTGCAGGTTTAGAAACAAAATCCCGATAGGATCAATGCAGATAACTTGTTTTTTCTGGTGCATTTGTGCATATTTGTGTCCGTACTTGAGCAGCTCGTAGGATGTGGTGAGGAGCTGAGAGCGCGTGTCGATGAGCTCCAGCAGGTCGGCCCAGCTCTCGTTGATGGCGTCCTTCCACTCCGCCATGGTGGCCGCCTCGGCGTGTCCCGCCTCGATCAGGTCGTCTATCGTCTCGTTCACCATGTCCACTCGCTCCTGACCCGCCATCCCCGTCTCCCGCGCAAACTCCCTGAACTTATCCCTCAGACGCTGAAGGGAAAAGACAGAAATGCTCATAAAGAAGTACTATTTTGTATGGAAGGTGGATTTGCATTTTGTTGTAAAGTTCGGGATTAAGGGAAAATAATAACATTTAGTATCCGTTAACAAGAACAGATCACTTTACACCAACATTTATTATAATATACAAGAAAAATATAATGTTCTTTTGTCGTTTATGAAACATTTCTATAATTTGCTCGTTGCTTGTTTTGATTTTGAGTTCCCCTTCGATGTAAGAACTCTAGTCAGTGAGCCTCGCACCTAAATGTGTGTATGAGCACCTCAACTACAGTTTATCAATCAATCCAAATGTATTAGTATAGCATCTTTCATACAAGTGCAACTTAAGGCTGATAAGAAGACACATTGTAAACAGTAACAATTTGAGAATGATGCAACAAAATAATAAAAAATGATTTATAAATATATATAAAACAATCAAATAGATAAAAAAAACTGCTTGATATACAGTAGAAGTATTAATCTCCTTTTCTTGCTTTAACAGAGAAACGTTTGCACTTTCTTTATATCTATATGATAAAAAGCAGATTTGAGTGAAATATGATCCTGAACGTTTCTTGCATGTTGGCACAAATGAAATCCTAGTGAACTTTATTTTGTGGCCAGTGTCTCGTTAAGTTTCTCCCTCTGTATTTGCCAAAATGTTGATATTTCTCTCGTGTGTGTGTGATCAATACCGTGACGTGGTCCAGGTCCTGGCCCATCTCCTGCGAGGAGGCCACCACGTCTTTCTCTGAGATCCACTGCTCCAGGTACTCCACCTCTCGGCTCAGCAGGAAGTGGTGGTAGGTGTGGTCCAGCTTCAGCCTGCGGTCCTCCGCCAGCTCCTTCAGCCCCGCGTACTGCTTATCCACCTGACCCTGTCGCCTGATGATCTCCTCTCTGCAGACAGAGCAGAGGGAGAGGATGGAGGGGAATGAGATGCATAGAGGACGAGGGGGAAATGAGAAAATGGAAACGAGATTGGATTTGGGTTTACTCTAGATGAGGCGTGTGATTAGGACACATGAATTATCACACTTTACATGCTTGTCTCTCTTATCATCCAGAACCACGATTGACTGGGACAACATGAGTGAATTAGCATCGTCAGATTACATTTTTGTTCAGTGTTTACAACAAATGATCCATCACAAACCCATCAGGATGGTCCTCAGCCAACATCCTCTGGGCTCGGTCAGCCAGACTCTGAATGGAGTCGGCGTAGTCGTCCACGTTCTGCTTCAGGACCAAGTGGCGCTTCAGCATCAGCATGGCACTCTGCTCGTCCTGCACACATGGAGTAAAGTGGAAGAAGAGTACTAATTAAGGATTGATTTATTTGAAGCTTATTTGAGTGCGCTTTTTATAAATTGCTCTGGATTATAACGCCAGCTGAAATGAAATGTAATGGGAATGAGGAGAGTAGAAATAAAATAGTATAATTATGCGAAAAAGATAAGGATGCACATCAAAGCAAAACAAAACACTACTAGCTCTCAATAGAGGGGGGACACTTTCAAAAATGGTGTCTACTTAATTGAAAAAAACTGTAACCATGTCATCATGATAATGCACACAGTGCTACTTGTTATTTTCACAACATAATATGCCTTTTTTAGATTATATATTTCAGACATTTGCGGTCTACTTCTCTGCTCTGCTCCCAGAGGTGGAAGGAGTCTTAAAATACTCCATAACAAGTAAAAGTCCTACATTCATAATGCGTAGATATTATATATATATATATATATATATACTTGAGTAGATATTAGATCAATTAGTATCAAAATGAACTTGAAGGATAAAAAGTAAAAGTACTCGTTCTGCACAATGGCCCACTTTAGAATATATATATTATATTATTGTAATAGAGTAAATGCATTAATGTGCTCATCACTTTAATAGCAGCTGTTAAAGGTGGGGCTCATTTTACTATATAGGGGTCAATACAGTTTTATCTTAACCTACAAATTATTTGTTGATTATGTATATTGTGTAGAATTATACTGGATATTCAAAGTGACTAGATCAAATAAATGTAGTAAAGTAAAGGTATAATATTCGACTCTGAAATGTGGTAGAGTGGAAGTAGAAAGTAGCAGGAAATTGAAATATTAAATTACAAATAACAAAAAATTGTACTGCGTTCCACCAATACGATTATAAAGTGTAGTAGCCCACGTCATATTCTTTGTTGTCCCTGTATCATCTGTATACTGACCTGTGTTTATTTACATGCCTATTCATTTGATTGTACAGTACACTGTATCTGCCACCTAGACCGACCGTTTTATGTATGTGTAATGTTCGTTATATTTGAAAACTTCGATACAAATATTGTTAAAAAATGGTTTGCGTTCCACCACGTTCCTCTCCTCACCTTGGCCTTCTCGTCAGCGATCATGTAGAGCTCCTGCTCTCCGATCCAGGCCTCGGCCTCATCCGCGTCGTTGTAGTAGTGCTGGCCAGAGCTGGAGCTCTTCAGCCTCTCTCTGCGATTGGTCATCTCGTCCTGGAGGCGGGCCCACGCCTCCTCCAGGTCCTTCAGCTGCTCTGTGATTCGCTCAGCCTCCGGTCGGCCCTCTGCGCTGGCGGCCGCCGACATCCTCCTCCCGCGCTCCAACACCTCCTCCACTCGAGGCTGGTGGCCCTCGATCTCCCTCTGCAGCGTCTGATGGACAGAGAGGGAGACAGTGAGTGTATTGGAGATGATATGACGGTGGCCAAGTGTTTCTAAACCTCCCCAGCAACGTCTATTTTAGTTCACACATCAATCCTTTGTGATATAAATGGAAACAAACAAACTTAGTCTTCACTACCTGATAAAGGCTTGATGCTGAAATGCGTCACTTTTTTGGTCTTAAATTACCATTATATTACAATGGAGACAATTCATTGCTTAAAACGAGTGCCGTAGAGCTGTCTGTGATTTTTGTGTCTACATGTAACCATATCTTAAAAAATACCTCAGACCAGCTGATATTATGTTGAGGAACGATCTTATCGCACAAAAATTATATATAAGGAGATGGGGTTTTTTTGCATGTTGTTTGTTTTGCAATATAGGTAGTAAACACTCTTTTGATTATCAGTTGAAAATAGCTTTCCTGCAGAGTATAGACAATCAGCTGAGAAATAATCAACAATAATTTAGATAATTCAATAAATGTTTCTGTATTTTTTTAATAATGAAACATTTTCAAGCACTTGCTCCAGCTTCTAAAATAGGGTGATTTATTTTCCATATGTAAACTGGGGAATTTGGAAGGGTTATGCTTCAGGACACTGAAAGCGGCATTTTCTATTATTTTCTGACATTTTATATTAAGAACAACTAATCCAGAACACAATTCCAGATTAACAAAAGATGGGAACAAATGTTGAAAGTACGAATTTTTATTAGCAGCCCGGTTTCCTTTAGGGAAAAAACCCTCACCTGATTCTTTTTCAGCAGCATTTGCACAGTTTGAAGATTGTGGCCGTGCTCCTGTGACATTGCCAGGGGCATCCTCTCCTCAATCCAGAGCTGAGAGAGAAGAGGAGGAGGAGGAATAAAAGATTAGGGCAAAGAGTAAAAAGTAGAGACTGGTTTCCTTTGAGGAACAGCTGAGCATTCAGAATCTAACAGTGTGCACACAGTATACAAAATTAAAGAAGGTCTTCAACATCTCAAACAGTAAATATCGTTTTTTAAACCATCTCCTCCATTTGACTAAAGTGGATTTAGCCGGTGAAACCAATAAGGGATTAAAGCTTTTTTACACAGACCCACCTGCAGAGTCAATTTCATGGATAGAGCTGGAGGTCTTACTATGCTGCATACTAAGTGTGCACACTATAATTGAAAACCTACTTTTCAAATTAATAAGTTAACATTTTGGGGGAAGAAACCCCTCTCAAGTTCGGTCTTCAATATTTCCCAAAAGGTGTTATCTTGCTGTCATTCAGAAGCCAACATGAATCCCACATCGTTTATTTAATTGATGTGCTATCTATCATTTTGTGAGAGCAGGGAGGTTTTAAATGTTTCATTTTGCTCTGAAATTGTCAAAACCGAACTCTGAGGCCTGAACCCAAACGCACAACTCGACACAGAAGGGTGTTTTCAAAATAAGGTCCTTTACTGGGGTTGGCACAGTATTCAAGGTTTCAAACAAAAGATCACTCAATAGAGGAAAGAACGTCACTTAAGGTGTGGAAAAACAAAAACACTCAATAGAGGAAAAAGGCACTGGGGAGAACAATGATCCTGGCTTGGCGATAGGTGCTGGTAGTCTACGTGACACAACAAGACGAACTGGCACAAGACAAAGGGAGAGGGGGCACAGGTGGACACAATCAGGACCGGGTGACACACAGGGGCGGGGAGCACAGAGACTCAAAGGTCCCCTATTATACTGTTTTTCATCAATATATTATAGCTCTCCGATATATACAAAACATGTCTCTGAAGTGTTTGGCTCCAAACACCAAACAGATCATTGCAGCATTACCCATAATCCCCTCTGTTTCAGCCCTGTTTCCAAAGTGCTGATTCTCTGTCTGTTACTTTAGATGAAGATAAGGAGCCCCTCCCCACGCCCCTCTGAGAGATATTTGGGTAAAAGAACACAATGGTGCTCTAGGAGGAGATTCAGGTGATAAGGTGGGGGGGGGGGGTTACCTTTGTTGGTGATTGGCTAATGGTTACACAAGCCAACAAATCGTTATGACATCATAAAGTGGCCAAAATCTGATCAGCTCATTTTCAGACAGGTTTTTATAGAAATGGATCAGGACAAAAAGAGAGAATCTTTTTTCCTGAAACTTTCAGAGTCTCTTTCCACAGAGGGGACACATGTTGATGTAGAAGAGACATGAACAAGTGGATTTTGCATAATAGGTGACCTTTAAATAATCTTCCGAGACATGACAGAAATATGAGTCCATGCTTACGAGCTCGTCGGCCAGGTCTCTGTAGAACTGGTGCTGGGCCTTGGCGGCCTCCAGCTTGCCCCTGCGCTGCGCCAGAGGGGTGAGGAGCTGCTGGAAGCTGCTCTGCAGGGCCTGCTGCTCCGCCTCCAGCTCCGGCTGCTCCTCCCTGCCCCCCCCGTGCTTCCTCACCGCCTCCTGGAGCTCCTCCAGCTCCTGCACCCGCTCACGCACCTGGTTCTCCGTCATCTGCCGTGGAGAGACACCATTACGGCAAAAAAGATGAATAGCCTTTCAAGAAGCCTAATCAGGATGTAGTGGAGGGTAAACCAAGCAAACGTTTTCATGCTGTTATTTAATTCAAACTGAGTTTAGTTTTCAAGCTGCTGATACCATGAAACTTTTACCAACGCAACACAAACTGTTATATAATTTAGAAGACTTATGGTGTGCTAGTTGTGTAGTTTGTGCAATCGAGAAGGTTAAATAGGGGAAGTGCATTATGTGTAAATAGGTATGGACACAATAGGGATATGTGCAATTTGACGGATACTATGCATAGGTGCAATAGGGAAAGTGCTGTACCTGTATGTTTCTTGTTTGTTTCTTTGCCATGTGATATGTAAACTCTGTTCTGTATCTATGACTGATTGACCTGAATGTTTTATGTGTATTATCTCGATGCCCAAGACACATTTCTCCTAAGGGAGACAATAAAGCTCTATCTTATCTTATCTTAGTTGTTCTCTCCAAGAAGTAAATGTTTTTTGTCATTAAGACTTTACATGAATATATTCATCGAATAATATTCCTTGTAAATAATGATGTGTATGAGGCTCACTGGCAGTGAATGTAGGGGATTACTTTGGTCGTTGTTATTGTTTGTTTGTGTCCTTTGTAATTCTTTTTTCTCTTTGAACATACAATCATTACAGACCACTGTCTCATTTGTATGCATATATTTTGTTTTCCATCTCTAAATGACAAAAACGGGCACAAAGTCAATCCTAAAGAATCACATGAGCTCCGGTGAGATTTAACTACACCTGATTAAGAATGTGTATTGTGGACTAATCTAATATGTAGTGTTTACTGCAGAGACGCAGACCTGATGCTTCTTGAGCAAGATGTTGGCTTTCGTCAGGTCTTTGACGTCTTCCTCCCCGCTCTGCAGCTGCTGCTTCAGACCCCCGAGCCACGTATTCAAGTCCGTGAGGCTCTGGTCGTAAAGCTCGGAGCGGTTTGCATCAAACAGTAGACGAGCCTTCTCCTGGGTGGTGGACTCCAGCGTGTCCCACAGCTCGTGAAGTTTGTCCAGACGCTCCTTCACGATGGGCTCCAGCTCAGGTTTGGACTCCATGAGCTCCTGACCCTCCTGCATGCAGCAAAACAAAGAGAGATGATGATGCTGTTACTAAGAAATGCTCAACTTGAGACAAAATATCACCTGAAGTCTTTCAAATAAGTAAAAAATAAGAAAATATCTTCTAGTAATGTTTGTAAAATAAGGAGAAAACAAAGGTATTGTTTTGATGTTTTATCGTGGTGTTTTACCACCACTTATTTACTCAGCCTATGTATCTTTATTATTACTTTTTGTTTTGTTACTTCCCATTGTAAAGCGTCCTTGGGTTTCGTGAAAGGCGCTATATAAATTGAAATTATTATTATTATTATTATTATTATCCTTAGTCAGAGTATGACCTACAGTAGACGGTAGTTGGCATGGAGTTTGGAGGGATAGACAGGACTACTGGCACACAAGATTAGCCATGTCCAGTCCTTTCTGACGTGGAACTAAACTCATGATGCTCTTGTTAAAGCCACCAAACTACGTTGACAAAACAATCAAATAATCTCGATAATGATTAGTAGGTTGGGGGCGGGGAGTCCTTAGAGAAGGTTCTGACTGGACTGACTGGTTGCTACGTCTGGTTGCTTGGAGCTGAGTTGGTATAACCCTGAATTAGATTAGAACATTTTAGAAATATGAGGAATAACCTCTTGGTTTTATAAACCGTTTTGTAATTACTTCTTCATCCATTTTTGGATCTCTGCTGGGTTTTCTTTTAAAACCCTAAACCCCCCCTTGGGGTTGGTCCCTCCCCTCTCCCTCTGCGGATCTAAGGTCCGGTAGAGGGGGATGGGGCACAGAGTCGCTTATCCAGGCGGGGGAGTGCATCTGACGAAGAGATAGGTTGTTGTGCTCTCTATCTCTGTTTCTTCTTTAACTGAATCTAGGAGAGGGCATTTAGGCCTCTCTACTTCCTTCTTTTGATTAGTTTAGTTTTTCACCCCCTATCCCTTGAACTAATTTATACAGGAGAGTGCATTTACGTAGTCACGTTGTGCCTCTCGGCGTATACTTTGACTTTCTGTCTCTTTGGAGAGTGGTAGTACGTTGGATACGTTGGGCTTTTTCACTGTTGTCCCTCTTCACTAGTATCCCATGTCCCCTCTTCATAATTTGGGTCTTCATAATTTCCACCCTATTCTATGGGGAAGCATGATGGTGCCTTTTCTTTTCAATTTCTGGCTTTGTGTTTCTTCACCTCTTACTCGTTTAATATTTAGGAGAGTGCATTTACGTAGTCACGTTGTGCCTCTCTTCCTCTGTTTCTGGCTGTTCTTTTCTTACCCTTGTTTCTCAGAGAAGAGAAGAAATACTATTCTAAAAAGGAGTTGACATGGTGTTTCTTCACTTGTACACTTGAGGGGTCAGAGTTCATATGGTGAGGGATTCCATGAGCGGTATGCGCCGGTCTGTGCCTTTACCTTGGACTTCTAATAGAACTGCTCGGGTCTTGATAGATTGAGTGGGGAAGTTCATGAGATCTTTCTAGAGGGTTATCAAGAATAACTTTTATCCAATGACCTTTTCCCTCTCTGTCTGTGTCTGTGTATTCTCTTGTTCCGATTAACCCAGCCAAATCTTTTTTCTTGTTTTGTATCTATATCTACGCCGGGATCCGGAGTCGAGGCTGATCCTCTTGCTGTAGTCCTGTGTCCTGGATCCTCTATCCTGAGTTCTGGATTTAGTCGTGGACTTCGGTTCGTGGCTGAACCTGTCTCTGCGGTCCTGCCTTGGGGCTCGTCATGCTGCTTCCCTGATGGCTTCCACAGGATTGTAGCTGACATCCTCGTGGATTCCTCTTCTTATTACAGACACATGCATTTCCTAACATTCGGTCTATATGCTGTAAAATGTATTATCTCTTGGATTTACACACGGCATCTATTGCACGTCTGTCCGTCCTGGGAGAGGGATCCCTCCTCTGTTGCTCTCCCTGAGGTTTCTCCCATGCTCCCTTTAAACTGTGGGTTTTCTCTGGAAGTTTTTCCTTGTACGATGTGAGGGTCTAAGGACAGAGGGTGTCGTTTTTCTCATACTGATATTCTGAACAATCTGTGCTGTTGTATTTGCTGTAAAGTGTCTCTACTGTAGGCTATTTTTATTATATGTACAGCACTTTGGCTCGACCAAAAATCGTTAATAAATGTGTTATATAAATAAAACTTGATTTGATTTGATTTGATAAAACAGGGGTTTCTGGTGTGCCTCGATCAGTCAGCTTGTTTGTGTTGTTTTGTGTCCTTGGTTGATTCAAACTCACAATAACAGAAACATTCAAACCGATTGAGGCACAACAAGTTAAAGCTGTGAAAATATTCAAAATATATTATGAAATTAAATTGTTATTTGAGTATTTTAGGTTGCTAAAATATGTTTTGTTCATATGCCCGTCCACTGAATTGCTTTGCTTCAGTGCCTCAGCTCCCTCTGTCTCTCCAAACTGAGATGTGCTGAGCGCCATCTACTGTAGGTTATACTCTGGCCGTTTCTCAATCTCGAGGATACTGGCTTCCAAGCCAATATTTCAAGGATGCTACGTCATCGAGTGCCGCCGAAGGACTGTTCCAATCTCCAGCATACTTGGAATTCCACCGAGGCCGCGTCCTTGGTTTGGGGGAAATTACAAGGCTGCACATGGGTAGACTTCGCGTCCTTAAAATCCCCACAATCATAATAATAATTAATAATTTCTTACAGCGCTTTTCCAGATGCTCAAAGCGCTTTACAAATACACATTACACATATCATACATGCAATGGTCACTGTGGACAATACCCACAGGAGCAAGTTCAGGTGAAGTGTCTTGCCCAAGGACACAACGGCTTTACAGACGCAGCAGCGACGGGTTTCACCCCTTGATCTGATGATCATTGCACAGCGCACTGCGCCACACCGTCCATCTTCACGCCTCGAAGTCATCGAGGCGCTTTTACAAGTACACATTAGTATCATACATGTACTGTGGACATTACCCACAGGAGCAAATCCGGGTGAAGTGTCTTGCCCAAGGACACAACGGCCTGACGCAGTGGCGGCAGGAGCGGGTTTCGAACTGGAGTTCCCCAGCACCCCCCTTGATCTGATGATCAGATGCACAGACCACTGCGCCACCCGTCCCGAACAATTGCGCACGGACCAATTTCAAAAACCCTTGCGGAGAATGGCTGAACCGACGCAGCACACATTTAAATGTAAGTATGTAGTGGCGTAGAACATGTGTTGGGAAATATGTTACTTTGTTACATTTGTTTGTTATCACCAAAAAAGTGTTCCGTGAAAGTAAAGCAAGTTCATAATTAGATAGACATCGTGAGATATTTATTTTCGGTACAGTTTATGTTGAAACCGTTAGAGAGAGTGGCACACTTGTTAGCCTGTTCCATTCTTCTTCGTTTTCCGAAGCCGTGGCTTGGAAGCATACTTGCTTTGTTTCGGAAGGAAGTGACTTGGAAGAACGCAACTACCAAGCCAGCATCCTCGCGATTGAGAAACACCCTCTGACTATGAATCACTTCTTCAACCCCATCCCCTATAACATAATCAGTATTTTATCAATACATGCCATCATCTGTCTCTCATACACCACGTTGCTAACCTGGTCCACGTTGTCCAGCCAGTCCTTGTTGGAGGCCAGCTCAGCCATGAAGGCCTGGTGTTTCAGCCACTTGCTGTGCAGGTTCCTGGCCTCGTCGTACGACGTGTCCTGAGCCGTCAGCATCTTCTCGTTGATCCACACAGTCAGCTGAAGCACACAGAGGAAGGGTGAGTATCAGGGATTAGCAACACACACAAAAACAACAGCTAAGATTCAAGCATGCACTGTATTAAAAAAAAAACTTGGGAAAGTTTTGGGAAGTCAGCATTTTAGATTTGTGTAGGGGTGACTTTCTTTGAGAAGGATTTATTTCTTTATCTTTTGAAAACAGAGCATTTACCAATTAGCCAAATGGGACCCCTATCCCAAATAGGGAAGATATAAATAACAATAATAAAGTCACATTGTGTTGATTTAAACAAGAGTACAGTAATCAACACTGTGGTGTCAGCTCTCATTGAAGATATAGTGAAGTTAATAATGAATGTGCTAATTCATGTTATCCAGTGATTACAGGAACAGTGAACTGACGGTGAACTCACATCCTGGGTGTTTTGCAGGAAGTGCTGCAGGTCGCGGTTGTCTCTGAGCTTCTCCGACACCTCCTGGGCTCTCCTCTTATTCTTGTTATGCCTGAAAGTCAAACACAAGCTATTTCATTTCAATTCTACCCAAGACTGATCTGATATTTCTTGTAATTCAACACTTCTGTAAGTGACGTAACAGGAGGAAATGCAGAATGACTGAGCGATGATTTATTATCATGAACTCCTCCCCCTCACAGGAAAATACCTGACACAGTAACCCAGAACAGTTATCAGTGCCTCCGCTGCCCCGTGAAGAAGAGCTCTCACTAAAGATCAATATCCATTATTGCGGGCGCCTGTCTACCGTGCTGAATTATGGGAGTTAATGGGACAAGCTCCCGTGCCCCACCTGTAATGCCTCTTGTTCACACAAATGATACAGCGATAAGAAAGCTGTTTTACTGCAGAGGCGAGAGAAACTCTGAAGAAGAACAGATCTATTTTGCGATATTAATCAAGGCCTGTACAGTATGAACCAAACTGGACTTAAGTGATGACAAAAGTCAGAATCCAGAGGTCCCTAAAGTTGGTAAAGAGGAGATAACAGATCACGCTGTACAGTTTATAATATTAGTTCCTAGTGTTTGTTGTTGATGCATTTTCACATCTTAATTTCTAGTATTTTGCATAAATAAAAGGATTGTTATCAATTTTAAAAGGCATAATTTTAATGGTATCCGAGAGTAAAAGTAGTAATTTTTTGAGTTGCTTTTTAATGAACTATGGGTATGTAGGTAAACACATGTGTCTGATTGGTATTTGGTCTTTTGGCAATAGACATTTAAGGAAAAATAAATAAACAAAAACAAGTGATTAATAATGGTAAATAAACATTGGTTTAAGGTCCAGGCAATTTTTTGTGATATGTTTGAATGCGGCTATGCGTATTATGTATACAGATATTTATAGAAATTAGATTCATTATATGATCACTTGAGAGATGCTCTTAGAAGTTTCACTTTGCTCTAAGTAGGAGTAATTCCTCTGATAAATGTGTCTTGTTGCTCACATTCAGCAAAGTGTTTTTACTCTTAACTAAAGAGCATTCAGTCAAGGGGGATTTTTGAAATGTTTGTTAAATATAGACAACAATTTCTACTGACCAAAACCAGTTTGAAAAGTTACAGTGCGGAAAAGAAATAAAGAGAAAACAGATAAACCGCTACTGACCTGTCTCGGATTGAGTCAGTTTTATCCTGCACTTTCCCAGAGTACAGGTTCCTGCTGTCCACCAGCCGCTGGCCGCCCTGCAGAGCGCCATCTATCTTGTCCTCGTTGGCCTCCATGGTGCTCACAAAGTCCTCATGCTTCTTCAGAGCCTTCTCTGCCCCAGCTGACGTGTCGGCCTTGTCTATGTGGGCCAATGTGTACTCCTGAACACGAAGTAGAGAAAGAAACAGACAAAACACCCTTGAGACATACGACCGGCTGTGAGGTAACTGACCATGCTGCATTCCTGCATACCACATCTTTTAAATACCTCTACCTGTAATTACCTGCATTACTAACCCCCATCACAACAAGGCTAACCCCCACCAAATGAGACCAAGGACTCTTCAAAAGACTGACCACTTGCATGTACATTAAAGATTATAACTCAGTGTCGGGGAGTCACTACTTACACTACTTAAATGTTATTGTAAACTTTTGAAAAACATGTAATTCAATAACAGTTACTAATCAGAATGTGGGTTTAATTACAAATGGGTTGCATCAAAATAAATTATTTTTGTAGTACATACGCAGATCAATAAATACGATGGGACCAATAAGAGTGCAACACCATCAAAGTAATGTCTCCCAGGTTGCGGTCGAATTGTCAATTTTGCTTAGGAAGGTTGCTTATGGATTGAAATGACCACGAAAGTATGGAAATGACAGCAATGATAATCTCTTTATAATCTCCTTTAGCTGAGGATACACTGGACGATCCTCTATGAAAGGAAACGTGAAGATTTGGTCGTTCACGAAAACAACCAATCGTGACTGAGGAATACATATCATATAAGTCGCAGTGCTTATTAGCATTTTACAACTTATACCATAACTTGCCAAAGTGATTATAAATATGTTTGAACTTCCAACACTATATCAAATTAAAAGGAAATATATGAATGTTATGTTTATTACAGTAACATTATCAAATAAGGGCAACATTTAACAGTGTTTACTACGTTGTTGGGGTTGACACCCTATATTTGCCTTCTTGAATCAGAAAAAGGGCTTCAACAGAATAAAATGTAATAAGTAAGACTACTTTGATTAATCTTAAAGAATTGCATTTTGTAAAACATTATTAAAAGGGTCACTAGTAATCTTTAACCCTTTACATTTTAAAAGTAGCCCTCCCAACACAGAGTACAGTACCTGGTTGTTGAGGATGGCCTCTACAGCCTTACAGTCCCTCATGAACTGCTGGAAGCCAAGACCCTGGTCCAGGAAACCTTTCCGGTTGTCCCACATCTTCTGCAGCTCGACCCACCCTCGGTCCAGCCCGTTGAGCCTCTGCTCCAGCTGCTGGTACTGAGGATCGTCCTCCTGGCCCTGGGTGACCTGTGTCCCGGTGTCCCTCACTTGGTGATAGTCCTCCTCGTGGTTGTTGATGTCTTCTCGCACAGCGTCGTGAAGGCTGAGCTGCTCCTCGGCCTCCGGCAGCGTGGTGGGCCTTTCCTCTGAAGCCACAGATTTCTGGGTCTTGAAAAGCCAGGACTGGAAGTCGTCCATGTCTTGGAGGAAGGTCTGTAACTTGCTGACCTCACCCAAAGAGTCCTCTCTGTCTTTCAGAGTCTTTCTCAGCGCGTCCCAGGCTGCGTCCAGCTCCCCTCTGCGGGCCAGGATGTCTCCAGCGCTCTCCGGGTGATCCATAGCCAGCTGGTCGGCCTCGTTCCTCAGGAAGGTGAGCTTGTTTTCGATGGCAGCCAGATCTCTCTCCATGCCGAACAGCTTCCTCTGGATGGTCATGACGGCTGCCAGGTCGTTGCCCAGGTCCACCGTGGACTCGATCACCCGAGTCTTGTCTTTGATCCAGGACTCTGTCTCGTCACACTCCAGCCCGTAGTTGTTCAGACTAGCGGCAGAATCCACTTTCCTCTTCTTGTCCTCCACCATGGCCTTGAAGGCCTCCCACCTGAAAAACAGGTATTTAATGGACCTTTGCATCACTTTAATCTGATTTTAGGATATGTTTTAAACCCTGCCATGAGCCCTTCAAATACCCTCATGACAATTAAAATCTAAATACAAATAATGACCTAAAAATAATCATTTATTTTTTAGGAATGTGGCAAATCCCGTGCAAGGACAGCTTAATGTACTGTAAAATCAAGAAACATTTATAAAATTATTATTATTGGAAACTTTTTGTTGTATTGTAAAATGTACTGTAGAAAAAGTTTATATTATATTATATACTACTTCTTCAAGAAAATAAGGTGTTGCCAAGAAATAATCACATTGTATAAGAACCTTTTTTGTAATTAATATCAGGTGTAACACTGAAAGACTGCTTGGAAAAGCTGATACAAAAATAAAAGACTTGTAAAATGTATTGAAAATATATTCAAAGCACCTCTTATTCAGTCGCATCTGACATTCCTTGACCTCTCTGGTGCGAGGGTGTCTGCTGTCCTCGAGCTGTTTCACGGCTTGATTCACGTCATCAACTCTCGACTGAACATTTGCCATATCTTGAGCAAGAATGCTCAACCTGAAAACAAGAACAATGTAGATTAGAATAAACAAAGTACAATGCACATGTTGCATACAAACTATGATCCCAGACCAGAAAAAAATATGCTTTGTATTAGTTGTTATCAACATTCATTTGGTAGAACTATTGTTTCCAGAATCAAATCAAATTAAGACATTCAGGAAATTATAATAAAATGTTTTGTGTACCTATTCTGTACTACTTCCAGATCCTCCAGTTTCTTAGGCACTTCCAAACCCACCAACCACGTCTCCTTCTGCCCCATCCACAGCTCGCAGGCGTCTGTCTCACTGAAGATGGTGTACAGGGACATGGCGTCATCCAGCTTCTTCTGCCTCAGGTCGGCCAGAGACATGAGCTCCATGAACAGGTCCTTAATGTCTTTCAGGCGTCTCTGAATGTCCGGCGTGTTCTGCAGCTCCTCCGGCAGCGCGTTGGCCTGTTTGGACAGAGCATCTATGGTGGCTCCGTTCTTTATCGTCTCATTCTTCAGGTCCCTGTGCTTCCTCAGCAGCCTCTGGGTGGTGTACTCGTCGTTGCCCATGTCGTCGCTGCTCATCTGCCTCTTTGCACCCAGCAGCCAGGCCTTGAGTTCATCTGCGTCTCCCTGAAACTGGAAGAACCTCTGGGTGTCCTGGAGGTTCTGTTTCCGGAACGCAGCCAGCTCCTCCAGCTGCTGCCATTGCCTCCTGATGTCGTCCATGCGTTCTTGGACCTTCGGGGAGCCGTAGTGCTCGGCCTCGATCATCTTCTGTCCTTCGGCCTGGACCTGGTCCAGGTTTGCACGGCGGGCCCCGAGCTCGTCCTCGAAGGCGCTGTGTTTGCTCTGCAGCACCAGCACACTCGTCAGGTCCTTGCCGTAATCCAGGGAGGAGAAGAGGTGCTCCTTCTCTCGGATCCAGCTCTCCAGCTCCGCCGTCTCCCACAGGAAGTTCCAGAAGAGGCGGGACTGCTCCAAGCGAGCCCTCCGCTGGGCCGCCAGCGCGCAGAGCTCCTGGTAGCACAGGTCCAGGTGCTGCACCCTGTCCCGGATCACCTGAGGATCACACGGCTTGTAGCCTGGGGGGGAAATGAAAGTCAATATAAACATTACATATATTCAATATTTTATCTACTGAACCAATTTTAACCTTATATAAGTTTGTCAAATGTAGTAGCTTTTCTAAAATAAGAAAACATATATACTGATTGCACCTAATGTACTTTGAATGCAGGTGTTAAAAACATTATTTTATTGGATAACATGTAAGTACTTTTCAAACAGGATTCAAATCACTAATACATATATAATAATAATGATATGAGCATTGGTTGAAATGTTTTGATACCAGTGTCAGTATGACACCTGATTGTTTGCAATGATATCAAAGCAATTTATGAACTTTGACAAAAGAGGTGAACATATCTGATCAAAACATTATGTCAACAACAACATTCAAAGGATTTGATGATATATATTTGTCTTACCCAGTGCAGGTGCTGAATACATAATATGTGGGCTGAAGAAGGTCTCGTTAGTGTCCTCATCTCTAACAAAAACAGTAGAAAGGGTCTGATGAGCCCCTGCACTTACTGTCTCCGTTGGCGAACTGAAGAGCCGCAGCGCTGGCCTTCTGCACTCGGTTTGCCTGCAGAGCGATGTCGTTCTCCAGCAGAGCGTGCTTCTGCAACAGGTCTTCCACTTCCAGCAGGTGTTTCCCAAAGTCAGGAGACAGAAGGCGGGCCTAGAGAGAGAAGGCAGTGATCTGATCAGTTTGGAGTCTATAGAATACAGTCATTAGGTGATGAATGTGTTGTACCTTCATGTCGTCCATCCAGCTGATGATGTACAGCATCTCCTGGAAGATCCTCTGCAGCATCAGGTTCTTCTCCAGACGCGCCCTGCGAGCCTTCAGCAGCTCCTGCAGGTAGTCCCACATGCGCAGGATGTTGTCTTTCCGCACGTCAATGCGTTTGGCGTCGTGGTACCTCTGAGACTCCAGCTCCTTGGAGATGTCCACCAGGACCTTAACACGCTCCTCATACGCAGCGATATCCGTCTCAATGGCATCGTGCTTCTTCTTCGCTGCCTCCACTGCTGGCAGGTCATAACCAAAGTTATCCTGAGGAGAGGAGAGGAGAGGAGAGGAGAGGGGCTCAGAGAACAAGAAACCTTGTGGTTTGTTAGATAAACCCTCGGATACATCTCTAAACTTCAAGATTAAAAAGTTGCAGGTACGTTGAGCTAATAATACTTGTGTTTTTCCTCATGTAAAAGGGGAGTATTAATAATTTGCTGTATTGCTACTTTTACTTTTAGGTGCTAGTTTTCAAATAAAAAAACTAAAGTTAAGTTTACATTTAATGCAGAGCATGCATGCCTGAGCTCTAATGAGTATCCTTTCTCATTAAACCTTAATTCAAACTCAGCATTGTTTAGATCCATGTTGACTAGCTTCTGTCTTCTTCTGCCCTGCCTTGTTCTGGCCCATTGCAGTGTCATTTGGTGCATTACTGCCAACTGTCTTATACTGTTAAACAACTGGCAGGACATATCAGGCATGTCCATCCTCCTCTGCGTGCACAAAGCAAGCAAATGTATGACACAGGTCTACTAGAGGTAAAAAACTACAAAAGAAACCTAAAAGTAAAGGATTGAAATACTTCTACAACAACATACAAATGATGTTCTTTAAATTCCTCTGACTAACTTTCTGCGGAAGAAAGTTCCTTTTTTTTTACTTGTCACCTTTTATTTGCTGCCATATCTCCTTTTTTTAAAGGCCGTCTGTTGAATCATCAATAGTCATGTGTATACAACCTGCTGTGTCATTAAATGAATGAAAATACTGTAAAACTCTGCACTGTTATACATGTCATGGTATATAATCAGATGGTCTAATTGAGATCTTCTTCAAGATTCCCCTCATAATAAATATCCGATAATAAGATTAAATGATACCATAGTGTTGTTTTTGGATGTGTTACCTGAGCCACCAGCCTCTGGTTCTCCTGCAGCCAGGTCTCCCTCATGGCCGCCTTCCTGTCGAATCTCCTGGCCATCTGCTCCAGCTTCTCCTGTCGGATCAGCTCGTCTCTCAGGACACGCTCCCGCTCGTGCTCCGCCCCCTCCAGACGCTCCCAGCCCTGCATGCAGATCAGGAGAGGATGTTTGTTGATGTATGTAGTTTAGGTGGTAAAAGTCACTTTATTTGTTCACTTTTATGAAATTCTTGAGCTCCTTTTATCCCATCAATAAATATGTTAGAGGATCGGTCAGTCACAAAACAACTCCTGAAGTTGGTTGGTATTTCAGTTTTAAGTTCAACAATACTGTATGTTAATGCTTGATGATCCAATTGCATAAGAGGGCCGTAACTAAAGATGTTTTTAGTGTGGTTATTTTGTTGGTCATTGCCTTAATTATTGTATTTTGTGTGTGTTTGGTCTGTGAAATGTCAAGCTAATTGTAAAAAACGCCTGTCACTGCTTCAAAGAGCCCATGTTTTTGTTTTTTTACAGTTTACTGAGTTGCATTATAGTATAACGAGTATAATTCAATTCATTTGTGGTTTAATTGTTGCCTCTGGACTGGCATCTGCCGAGTGAATGCATTGTGACCCGTTGTGTATGCTTGGGCTTCAAAACACTGACTTTATGCTGGTCAAAAGAGAGACCCTCTTTAATGAAGTCATCTGGTTGGTTAGTTAATATGTTCATAAATAATAAGTTAATAAAATGTATCTTTCAGAAAAAAAGCTTGTGAAAACTGAATATATTTAAGGTTGGTTGGCCAAAACAAGCTTTGTTTTTCCTGATATTTCATGGACCAAATGATGCCTCACTTAATAGATAAAATAATAATAAGATTCATCAGATTAAGAAGACACATGATCCGTCTCACCCTGTTGATATCAGCCACCAGGGCTCCCTCTTTAGGCGTGTACACCCTCTGGTTGTTGGCTCTCATTCGACTCTGGATGGTGAACAGCAGAACCTCCAGGTTCCCCTTCTCCTGGAACCTGAAAGAGAACAAACACAATTTGAATGAATTGGATTACACTGAATACGGAAATTACAATATGTATTCTAATCTGAAATAATATTTATTTTTAAGATCAATATATAGCTGATTTCCATTCATTTTAACTGTACATTTATGTTGGATTATTAGGTAGATAGAGGCCTTACCAAAAACATATCAAACAAAAGAAAATATTAGATAATATACTAAATGTAAGCCTTAACCCCAGCCAGTACGTTTAGGTAAAACTGCTAAAAAGGTGTTCCTCTGCTGTATCAGTTTGGTATTCCATGCGCTATGTGAAAAATATAATAAGTTATTAAAGAAAAGATCCGGTCAATTTTAAGTTTGGGGTTGATACTTGATTTTGTATATGATTATGATTATTTCCAGCTTCTCAGAGGTTGTGTTGAAAGTTTGTTCTTGATTGCTATTGTTGTGATATTTAATGAATTGTGCAGAATATCATAAAGGTGAGTTTTGCAGATGAAACAAAACCGGAAGAACAGAATGTATTGGGATTGAAACAGACCAGTGTGATGTAATGGGAAGGTGTGTTGGCTCCACTCACTTGGGCGGCTTCTCCACCGTGCGGTAGGTGTTGAAGGCCTGGAGCTGCTGCTGGACTCCCGTCAGAGAGTTGGCGAGTTTCCGGTTGTTCAGCACGATGATGGTCTGCTCGATCCACGTCAGCAGGTCTGAGGACAGCGTCTCGTATTTATCAATCATCTTCTCTGTCTCGATGGCGTGATCCAGAACCTGAAGAAGAACATAAAAGCTAATCAGGGAACATACTAACATTAACAAATTCATAAGTGTGCGTCATCTTTCCATCCCACCTTTCCAACTCTCTTTCCCTCGACAGCGAGCTGCTTCATCTTGGAGAAGTAGTGGTAAAATGCAACGACGTACGTGATGATGGACTTTTCATCTGGGTTCTCTGTGAACACATCTACAAAACAAACGGCAGACGAGTCAGTCACAGCCAAGCCAGACACCATCTCTACTCCTGAGGTCTTTTTTTCCACCAGGCTTGAAGCTCATAAACATTTATTTCTACACGAAGGCACAGCCTCCGTCAGTCACTCGCCTTCAGGGTCCAACAGTTTGTGCACACCAAGCTGCTGCTCTGCCACGTTGAAGGCGCTCTGGAGGTTGTGCGACGGGTTTGACTTTTTCAGTTTGTTAAGGTCCACCAAATCTGGCCTGAGAGAGAAAGATGAACAGAGTAAAAGAGTAAAAGAGGAAAATGAGACAGGGAAGGAGCAGAATGAGGAGGAGAGACACTGAGCAGACGGTTTCCTGAGTGTTTACATATCAGAGCTGGTGAGAGTGGATTCAGCCATTCATCTCTCCTTACCGGTGTTTGTGTATGAGAGCGTTGAAGGCCATGCCGTCCTTCCAGCTGGTGGTGAAGTTTCTGATGTTGACATTGGGATATCTGTAAAACAACGGACAGGAGGCGTCATTAACTGGGACATAAAGGACATAGCTGAGAAGCTCCTGCTTTAAATCAACATCTGGGAACTGCTTCATAAACATGTGACAATATGATGCTCGTATTTCTGCAGCTTCAGACCTGAGCAGACCAGTGGCACTTTGTAATCTGCTCAAAAGATCACAAAATGTAGAGGAATGATCTTGAAATAGGACAAATTATGACACTGTAAAAAACCGTAAAGACATTTTGGGAAATTAGCTTATTTGCTTTTTAAATGAAAGGATCAAAACCTCTCTTATGTCTGTACCGGAAAGATTTGTCTTTTTGCAATCTCATTTTCAACAATAAAAATGTGAATACTGAAAATAGGAACTCATTTTATTTATAGAACACTTTTCAGGATACTCAGAGATGCTTTATATAACAAATTAAATATATAAAAAATAACCTAGAAACCAAAACAATATATGTGTGGAGTTACACAGGACGTAGAATAAAATATTTAAATGTTTCGAGTTTGAAGACACGTGAAACACTTTTCTAACCACTAAAAGATTTACAGCTGTTCACATAAATGGATTTCCAAACTAATTCCCAAAAGATGTTAACAACAGCTTGGCGATGGTAAAGTTTAAACATCCCACTTACCCCGCCGTCTTCATCTGGCACCACAGAAGAAGAGCGTCCTTGGCTGAGCGCGTCTCCTTCTGGTCCGCCTGGCCCGTTTCCACAACAATGTCCTGGATCTGATTAAAAACAACACACACAGCTGCATGGTAAATAATGAAACGTAACTAATGACTGCGAGCTTTGCGATCAAACAAGAACAATGCACAGCAGAGAACAAAACCTCAGTGATAGCAACATGTCGCTAATAGGATGCATCAGATGGGAAACATTTTGGCACAAAAAAAACCTTGGAAATACATAATTTATAAAAGCTGATTGATTGATTGATTGAAAAGTGTATTAACAGCTTGTATATTGGGTACAGTACAGTACAGCTCAAAACATACAATTGTTAAGGGGATGCAGACCAGAGAAAGACTTTCGTCTTGTTTACATCAGGGTCCCCCATTTCTAATTCATCATGTCATTTAAGACATATAAGACATATAAGACATATTTGACATACAGATTGCTTATTTACAATTTACATTTTGTTCTAATACATCCTAACCGGACATTTAAGACATACCAAGTCTACAGATATACAGTTAGTAACAGAGTCTAAAATGCGAGTATATACATAGATGGGGGGGGGGGGGAAGCTGTCCATTGAACGACAGGTTGAGATTTGTACCATTACCGGGGCCAGTTTTGCAATGCTCTCCCCCGAAGGTGCTCTTTAAGAGAGGTTTTGAAGGTAAGTATAGTTTTACTTTCCTTTACAGTTGTGGGAAGAGCGTTCCACCTTGATGTGGCATAATTGCGAAACGTGTATTCCCCCTTTTTTGTGCCAAATCTGGGTTTCACATGATTTGTGGAGCTCCCTCTGGTTATGATCATGGTATTCCTTGACCTTTGGGAAGAATTTTGACATGTACATGGGTACCATAGAGGTGTAGTGGATCTTGTAGACCAGGCCCATTGCAAGTAGCTGTACTCTGTCGTCTACTCTAAGCCATCCTAGGTTGTCAAAGTGGGCAGAGGTGAGGTGGGTTCTAGATGAAAGGTCAAGCAGTAGTCTGACCAGTTTATTTTGCGATGTTTGAAGTTTTATTTTTAGCGCCTTGGAGGTGCTATGGTACCATGACGTGCAAGCATAGTCATAGTACCCTTGAATGAGTGCTCCTGCCAGAGTTTTCAGGGTGTTTTTGTTTACCAGAGAGGAGATCTGGTATAGGAATCTAGTTCTTTGATTGACTTTTTTTATTACATTGGATGCCATTTTGTCACAGGAGAGGTTTGCCTCAAGAATAGATCCTAGGTATGTAATTTCCTTCTTACTTGTGACAATAATGTCGCCCACTGCAACTGAGAAGTCGTCGGATGTGCTGAGATTATGTTTCGAACCGAAGAGAATGGACTCTGTTTTACCCAGGTGTAATGATAATTTATTATCGGCGAGCCAGGTGCAGATTCTGCCGAGCTCGGAGCTGAGGGTTTTTTCAACCTGCAACCTGTTCCTGTCAGAGACCAGCAGGGCTGAGTCGTCCGCGAACAGGAACAAGTTGCAGTCACATGCTGATGACATGTCATTTACATAAATTAGGAACAGTAACGGACCTAATATGCTTCCTTGTGGAACACCACAGCTCACTGGGAGGGGGGGGGACAGAGTACCGTTTACCTCCACCATCTGTTCTCTCCCCTCCAGGTAGGATCGCATCCAGCTCACCGATAGTTTATCAAAACCAATTGCTTTTAGCTTGTCAATCAGAATGGGGTGATTGACAGTGTCGAAAGCCTTTTGTAGGTCCAGCATCACCATGCCGCAGTACTTGCCCTCGTCCACCTCTTGTTTGATGTGGTCACTCAAATAAAGAAGGCATGTGTCAGTGGAGTGGGATGTTCTAAAGCCAGATTGAAATTCATAGATTAGTTTCTTTTCCGCGAGGTACTTTTCGACCTGTTCATATACTATTTTTTCCATGACTTTCGAGATGGAGGTAAGTATAGAAACAGGGCGGTAGTAGCCTGGGTCCAATTTGCTGCCCTTTTTGTGCAGGGGGGTTACTCTTGCAATTTTGAAGTCTCACAGAGATACTAGGAGGTTTTTGTGTACAATCTCATGAGGTATATCATCGATGTTATTAGCCATTTATATTCTGTTAATAGAAGGATGGGTAGTCATTATTGAAGTCCCTATTTCCTCACACAGTGGGCCAGTAATTAGAGCATTGGTTGATCTGGCCCTGAGAGACGGCTACATTTAGCCAGCGTTGGTCCTCCGTGGTTTACACAGACTGAAAAGATACTGCAGGACTGAGTCTTTCATTTTGTTTGAAAAAAGCCTGAATACTGCAGGAGGCCATATTGTTTGAAGTAACGTGTCTAAAAATAACAGTGTTGCTGTCAAATTAAAAATAAATATATGCCCTTCCAGGAAGTTGAAAGAGTCAAACAGACGTGTTCTGATATTTATATATAATGTTTTGAACCTGAATTCGAGTAAAGAGACAAAAACATCCCGAGGCTGCACGATGTTTCTGTGCTGCACGCCCAAATAACATTAATCAGTTCATCAGAGACTTGTCTATAAAACAGCAAGTTGTACACTAAAGGCAAATACATGTTATTTACATAATTATCTACTGTATGTTTCCATAGTAAAGTGAGACCAGAACTGACATGGTAACACAAATGAATAATTAGAAGAACGTTGAACCAGATTGTAACTGAGGCAAAGAAAATAATTATTTGGTCTCTATTTCTAAAGCGTAACATGTTTGGGCAAACATCATGTTGGAAAGAAAATGTCCTGTCTTTCCTCGAGTCAATATTTCTTGATACAAATAGGTTCCTTCTGCAAGGTAAGTTGGCAAATGTAGTTTTATTAGGCTTGTGCAGTAAAAACTATGTATTGACTCCTAATCTATTGACTCATACTTACCTAATATGTGCATATAGACAACAATACCCATAAGGCGCTTTCACACCAAGTACATTTGCCAGGAATACTTCCCGGCCGGAAGTCCCCGGAGTTGGGGGCTGGCTTCAGTAGAAGCTGCTGGGACTAGTAAATCGCCAGAAGCGCCGACACCTCCTCATCACTCCACCGCTCCCATGTTTTCTTTTGTTACATTACATTACATTTCATTTAGCTGACGCTTTTATCCAAAGCGACTTACAATTACCAATCACAGGGACATTCTCCCTGGAGTAACTAAGGACTAAGTGCCTTACTCAAGGGCACACTAGTGGTGGTGTTCCTGGCGGGATTTGAACTCACAACCTTCCGATCTTCAGCCCACCTCACTATCCATTGGACCACCACTATCCCTTTTGTGTTGCCATAAGTCAATCTCTTTCCGTTGGTGCGCTGGGCTAATGCTAAAGCTAATAATGCTAATGCGAGCAAATAAAATGGCGGCAGTTTTACGGGGCTTGGTTTGCAATTCGCCCAGCCAATCAGAAATTGGAACCGTTTTCTTCCCAAGAAAGTCCCTGCTTTCTAGCAAGGACTAAAAAGGGGTGAAAAGGTTCGCGCAAAAAAAAGTTCTAGTTCCAGATCTTTTTGGTGTGAACGCAAAATCCCAGGAACTATCGGAACTATTCCTGGGAAAAGTACTCCGGTGTGAAAGCGCATATAGACTTACAGTATCCGTATTTTATCGGAAATATTGCTTTACTATAACACACAACCTGAAATCAATGCACTTCATTTTATGATAAGAACATTACACACATGTGTCATACAGTGTTTTGAATAAAAAAATATGATATATATGATAAATATGAGCACTCAGCGTGGCCGATGTCTCAATTTACCTGGAAGCGAAGGATGATGGTCCAGATGAGGCCGAGGATGAGGCGATGGTTGCCGTCGACGATGTCGTGGGAGCCCATGTTCTCCAGGTGGACCCTCTGCTCTTTGAGGAACTGCAGAGCCTTGTCCACGTTCTCCAGGCAGTGGATACGCATCCGGCCCTTAGTGGGTTTTGGCTATAGACAAACAAATAAACAGAGTTAGAGGAAGAGCGTTCAAAAGCGACAGAGGGATAATGCAAAGAGTTAAAAGGAGAGACAAGTATAAAAAGGTAACGAGGGAGCTTCTTACCAGCCGTTCTCCGGACAGCACCTCCAGCAGTTTGATGAGCATGCGTCCATCTCGCAGGTCCAGGTAGAGGTCAGAGATTCGGCAGCCGACCCGGGACAGGATGGAGTTGACCCATTTAGTGAAGGTCTTCTTCTGAACCGCCTCGCGCTCATCTGACAGGAGTGCAAAGTTTAAGAGAGAACATGAGCTGCATGAATAATGAAATAACTTCACATCTAAGAAGCAGCACCACTTTAGATGGCGGAGATGAAGTCCTGCCAAAGGGCTCTTCTGATGAAGTAGAATCTGCTCTGAACACAGACAAGTTGTACTGCTTTAATTCATCTCCAGAGCAGAGTTAAGCTTTGTGTTTATGAATGTTACTGAGAAAATACAGCCTGGGCTAACTCAGTTATGTATTTTGGCTAGTCAGCTTTGTCTGCAGCAAAACATGATCATCATTTTCTTAGATCAGCCTAAAAGAAATATAGTTTACATAACCAAGGACCAAGAGTGAGACTATGGGCCCTGGACATTTAAACGCAGGAGCAGAAATAGACCGAGGACTGACTTTTATTTCTGTGACTGCAGCGTACAATAAAAAACAGATCCGTTTCCAAACGTAATAATATTGTTTCAACAAAATACCATTTCTATTAGAGCAAAAAACAATATGTGAGGGAGAGACTTGAGAGAATGTAGAATACAAATCAATGCGGTCGCCATCATTTACCAATGTGTCATTTATTCAACACCGCAAAGGGCGTTACATATCTGAGTTTCATTGCGTTTTAAGAGTTAAATGAGAGAGGAAAGAGTAATCTTTTAAATAAAATACATTTTATTTAGAATATAACTATGTATTCTTGTATTAACAGGTGTTCAGATAGTTACCAGCACCTTGTGAGCATACATTTATTTAGTTTGCGCCACAGCAGATCAACACTGACACTCCTCCAAGAAGATGATATGCAAAACGCTTCAACACACTTCACAGTATTACTGTATAGGAATCATCCATTAAAGAACACATGAGATATAACCTGTATTTTCTTAAAGCACATATTTTCAGGTACTGTAGCCTCAGTATGCTGTGCAACTGTTATACTGTAAAGAAATACATTATTTAAAATCTTGTATTGGATTGGCAGGTCAATATTAAAAGACCCTGATAGAATTGGGACTTTCCATAGAGAAATGTTAACATTCTCCTAGGACCTATTGAATAATCCATCATGTCCCAAACTAAAACTTCAATTAAAGTCAATTAAACCTCGTCACACTGCGGCCTGCTGGCAAAGGCAGATTTAATGTTACACTTAGGTCATTGTGGGTAGAAGTTCAAATGAGGCCACTTTCAAATATCTGGTCCAAAACAGATGTATTTTTAAGTGATTGTAATTTTAATGAGAACAATACATCAATAAATGCCACTAAAATAGTGAAAGATAACAAATGATGTACTTTTTTTAATGTTAAAAGATGCTATGAAGTTTAAAATATGATATGATAACAAAACAATGGGACAGCTCTAACGGATATATACCAGAAGGGAGTCATTCACTTTGATAATAATATGAAGGTTTTAATATTATACATCTACAATTGTTGTTATGTACTAATGACCTCATAAAATGCTTTTTCTTTTATCAATACCTGTTTGGCTACCCATTTTCTCAGTGTCTAATGTTACATATTCCTTATTATCATAAAAGGCAATCAAAGGTTACATTATTAAACTTCTCATTATGAGTGAGTCCTACTTTATGATAATGTGTGTTTTACTTTCTTTCTTTTTGATTTTAGCTACTATAAAATGTACTAAAACGTTATATTATTAATGCAAAATTGCTGAATTTAAATGTTAATGTTCTAAATAATTGGAGTGGGGGAGGGGAGTTATTTCTGTCTCAAACATCTTAAAATACTTTAGAGTGTGATTTTTTTCCTTGCATGACAGCAGCTCCAGTTCTCCTTGTTGATGTTGCAAATGGTGCAGCTGTGAAAAAACATTTTAGACTTGATTTAACAAAAAGGTATTATCGTATGGTATCTTACAAATTTGGTAATAAACCTCTCAAATAAATACACCTCGAGGAAAAGATTGAATTTAACCATCTATGTCTTCTCATCCTGTTTGCTGAGTCTAAGTACTCCTGCATAATAACATCACATACATAAAAAGTCAACTAAGTCGCTGCAGAGTTAAGTGTAGGTGTACAGTACTTATGCTGAGATTCCTTAACTGAAATAGTGTCTGAAAACTCAGGCTCGACAGGGCGGAGAGAAGCAGATCTGGTGTCAGACTTGGACAGGTTTTGGGAGGATGAGCTGTGCCCACGCTGTGACACATCTTCCTCACACTTAAAAATCATATCTCAGTGCAGATATGCCTCCTACTCAGCAGCTAAAATAAAACCAATCTTTCAGGGACCGTATGCTAGCATATCTCACCCGCACCAAGCCATGGCAACATCACCCCCACCCTCATCCACCTACACTGGCTGCCAGTCGGACCTCCTCCATCCCTACACCCCTTCTCCGAGTCTGCGGTCCTCAGACACGGGCCTGCTCTCCATCCCCCGCTCTCGCCTCCGAACTGTTGGTGACAGGGCGTTCAGTGTTGCGGCCCCCACCCTCTGGAATGCACTTCCTGCCGAGACCCGTAATGCTGTCTCCCTGGACATCTTCAAATCATCATTAAAAACACACCTGTTCACCCTGGCCTTCGGGCCCGAGCCCTTTCTCGGTTCTCCGGCTTCCTTTATTTTTAGTTTGCCCTTTTATTGTCTGTTTGTTTTGTTTGTCCACCATGTACAGCGACCTTGGGTCCCTTGAAAGGCGCTATAAATATCATTTATTATTATTATTATTATTATATGTGACCCGATGTCCTCCTCTCTGTTGATACTGTTTGTGGACACACACAATGTGAAGGGGAACGGGGGAGTTGTGAGTGGGTGTGTGCTTGAATCTGCATTTAGTATGCATATAAAGTAAAGTGTCTGCATTTTAACCTTCACTTATTAATCACAGAATATTAAGCAGGATGGAAAGTGTGTCCAGAATATGTAGAATATGTATACATGCTATTGTCTTTTGGTCCTGGATATTAAAGCGATTAGTTGATTGTTTGATTGACAGAAAAAGGCTTTTATTCATATTTGAAGATATCACTTGAAAACATCGGCATTTTTATTACTATTTCTGACATTTAGTACACCAAATAAATCGTGAAAATAATCATCATAATCATAGTGGCAGCCCTAGATGTTTTTTAATTGAAGCTCTTAGAAGAGTTTTTTTTAGAATAATCTGGAGCAAGGAGGACAAGACAACCTGACTACAGTTATCTTGATTGTACACAGCTCCCAGCAGACACAGACACACACCGACACACCGACACACACACACACACACACACACACACACACACACACACACACACACACACCGACACACAAACACACACACACACACACACATCTCCTTTAAGTGTATCAGGTCAACCACCGGTGAGACATTGCTCTCTCATTCCTGTCATGCTGCAAAATTTGGACAATTCCCCTCGGTCTGCCGGATACAGTTTGCCCTATTTATTCCTCATCCCAAATATGACTCCAAACTATGGAGTGCAAAGGAGTGCATCCTTAATGACTGGTGTAATAAATGATTCAGACCCCGAGGCGGTGGAGAACAAGCGAGGAACAAGAGGAGGAAGAGAAGAAGAGGGAGAAAGGAAGGAACTGATGGCAGAGAGAGGAGGCTAAAGATTTCTGTTTAAAGGTTAAAGCGAAGATAGCAAAACAGAGTATGAGAAGAGGAGAGACTGGAGCAAAGGTAAAGAAGATGAGGAAGAGAGAAAAGAGGATATGGAGGCCAAGACAGATCAGACAGGAAGTAATGGAGAGCAGGACTGAGATGCAGGCTTTCAGATTTAATGTGCAGAGACCCAACAGGAAAACAGAACAAGATACATTACATACAGTTTCTAAAAATGACCTAGTAAGCACCGACTAAAATATGCAGCTACACTCACAGCATCAGTAAAGAGAGGAAATCAGGGGTTATTGTATGTGAAACACATGGTGCAGCAGAGAACAGTAAATAAATCATGCTTTTTCTGCTCCCCTCAGCAGAACAACAGCACGCTATGTCGTCACGGATTACCACGGCATCAAAAAGTAATGGCAATTAAAACATGCACATAACAGAAAGCTCCAACAGGAATGTCAGTGTAGATTTAGCACGGACAAAAAGATCCAACAAGATATGCGGGGGCGTGTGGCGCAGTGGATAGAGCCTTGGTGTTGGGATCAGGGAGCACAGGTTCAAACCCCACTGCAGTCAGCATGTCGTTGTGTCCCTGGGACACTTCACCCCAAAGTGCTCCTGTGGGGATTGTCCACAGTATTGAGTATGTAAGTCGCTTTGGATAAAAGCGTCTAACAACATGTAATGTAATGTGCAGTGAAACCTGTGACAGATTCTTCCTGAAGTGTTTGGGGTGCTGCGTGCAGAGGACATACAGTAGAGGCAGAAAAAGAGGACAATTACAAGCTCAACCCACCGAAACGTGCACGTGGTTCTCCTGTATCGTCTCACAAGAAGAGACCTTGAGAGGAGACACAGTGCACAGTGATGAAGCATTGGATAATAGAGGGGGGAGGAGTGAGGTTTGTTTTCTGCGTGCATCCCGCTGAGCCGTCTCCAGATGTGAAGTTCAACAAACTCAATGCGACATCAGCTCTCTGTGTCTGCGCTCAAAAGCCTTAAGTCTGGAGTATATGGTCTGAACTCAAACTTTGCAGGGCAGAATATAAACTATTAGTGAAATAATATTTAATACCACTCGAGACGTAATTATTTGTATATCAAGATCTTCAAGCTTCGTTCAGTTCAGTTAGCGTGTTTGGGTTCAATAACACGCAGTCGATTATTCTACTTCCTTAATCATCAGATTCACAATGTAAACCATATTTGAAGTATTTTTTTGTTGACATTGAATTATTTGGTTCAACCGTCTTTTTGAGTATATAAATGTTTCTCAATTGAATTGCCTGAAAATGTTCAATGAATATATGTTAAATACTGTATATAACTTGTGTGGTATAAAATGCTCTCCTGAACCTATTGAATTTCCTTTCTTTATGAAGAGACTTTCTATGAAGAC